GAGTTCAGATAAACTAGTTAAACGTGAGCCAGTCGTGTGAGTATGGCAGCTATTTAGAATGTAGGAAAGATCAAAGGACTGTTAAAGAAACTCTGATTAACTGTGCTCAACTGCAAACTCTCGCTTTTCTTTCTCACTGACAGCTGTCCTCCCTTTGGTCTGCCACATTCCAGCTTCAGAAAAATCTGTAGAGTCAAGTAGTCACAACCAGTCACAGCACACTACACACACACACACACACAACTTGCAGTGCATATGGTCCACTGTTCACTTACTGTGATTATCTGATAGACAATGAACTCAAGCATGCTTCTGAATGGGAATGTTTAATAAATACTGCCTCCATTGTAGATGTCTGAGATAATGTTCATCAGCAAGCGCATTTAATTGGGAGGTTTTTTTTTTTTGGTCTAATTCCACATCCTCTGGATACAGGCCACCTCCCTGAGGCCAAACTTGGCTTGGAAAGGCTGATGGTAATCATTTGAATGCCTGGACAGAGAGAAAGAGCAGACTTTGTTTGTGGATGGGTGTCAATGAGAGAGAAACGGAAAATGCCTGTAAAACACACATATACACACACTCCCCACACCCATGCCATCCCCCACCTTTCCTCTTTCTCTGAACATAGACACACACTCATTATTCCCCACCTTTCCTCACCATTGGAAAACAAGCTAAAAACAGAGCATGGTTGCCGTGGTTGCTCTAGTCAGCCCTCCAGCTCTCTATTCATTCTGATTCACTGACCAATACTCCATCAGCATATTAAGAGTTTCTTGGAATTCCAGTTTCAGTTATTAGATCAGTTAAGCTTTGTTAACCTAAAATCACAACTTTTAGGCTGTTTTCACAACTTGTTTGTTTTCTAAACTCTAAACCAGAGTTTGGGTTTTTGTGACACTGTATCTTTTTCATTTGGTTCAAATGGTCTCGCATAGCAATGGATAAAGTGCACCGAATTATATACGCAGGTGTTTGATGATTGGTCAGAAATTTGGCTGGGACTGAAGCATTCTTACACGCAAACCAAACAACATTTTTAACTTTCACTAGCCTAACACTGTATAACATCCAGATTCATCCCTCATATATATTCTTAATATAAATGTACTATCCTACCTCTATTTGGTATTAAAATAGAGCCACTTATTACACGAATGAACTTTTGCATCAGGTTGCTGATGCTTGGCCTAACATAAGTTCTGTGATTCATGTGCCAAAATCAAATGCATTGATTTGTTATTCTTTTATTGCTTGTCTGCTGTTATTAGCAATATTAGCCTAAAAACTACACAATATAATAATTGTGAATTACCTTCTGTAATTGGCTGAACCCAGTGCTCCCCCAGTAATAGTAGCCCTGTTCAAACTGACTCACTGTAATGTAACAACAAAACCTGCTAATAAACATGGCTGCACACTGTGATATTCTAATTATTATGCCTGGTACGTAACACTGACGTGTCAATACAAGCTATCTGTGGTAATCCGTGGAAATCAGACATACACACTACCAGTCAAACGTTTGGTATTATATGCACAATTAATAATTGCTGTCAATTTATTCACTTATATCTTAGACAGCATAGATTGAAATACCATATGCTCACAAAAAGTCATTTTATGATGTTTTATTTAATATTTCACAGTTTTTGGAAGACCAACGGCCAGATTCACAAAAGTGTTTTCAAAAAAGAAAATCTTCTTAAATGTGTTTTTTCCTAACTTCATTCTTAAGAAAAAAAATCCAAAAAGAAGATTATCTTAGGAGAATATTTGAGAACTTCTTATGTTTTTTTTTTGCATTTAAGAACATTGGGCCTCTTTCACCAACTGGTTTTAAGAAGCAGTTTTGATGAAGATTCAGATGTTCACCAATGTTTTCTTATCTGGGATTTGTTCTTAGGTAAGAACAGAATCTAAACATACTCAAGAGCTTGAAGGTGAGAACAATTCTGAAAGAACACGTCATGAATCTTACCTAGACTTATTCTTAGGACCTTTCCCAAGAACAAATATAAGAAAAAACTTAGGAAGATACTGGTGAATGAGGCCCATTCTTAACTTCAACTTCTTAGTGTTTGTCTTAAGAACCTTGGCAAGTTTTTTTCTTAAGAAAGCTTGTGAATTTGGCCCCAAGTTCTTTATAAATATGTACTGTAGAGCTGTGGAATATGGCAAAAAAAATTGTAATATCATGATTTCTCATGAAATTTTCACGATACATGATATATGTCACAATATTTATTTTTTTAGACATCTGATCAGCTGGAGGACAAAAAAAGAACAAATATAAATAGAAATAGAAATTTTAGAAAATACTCTCAAAAACTGTGAAGACTGTGATTTTAATTCAATATTTTGCATACCGTGTTGCACAAAATCCAGTAAAATGGGACTAATTTTGCTCTCTTTATAATGAAACATGTAGTTGGTCAGTGTTCTACAAGTACTGACGATATCCATGCCATATTGCCCAGCCCTTATGTAGTGTAAATATTTATTTACAGTAATTTCTTAATTACCAGCCTCAAGATTTCTTCTGGATTTTTTCTGTTTCCCAATTAATAACAAATCTTCTATAGCTATAGTCATCATTCTGCACACACCTTACATTGCTTACAGCTTTCTAATAACCAATTACCTATGAAGCTGTGGAGTACTAGCATTATATTAGAATAATTTTGTACCTGCAACCAAACTGCTTTTACATTAGTTTTTTATTACTATTATGATGATGTAAACATTAACTTTTAAATGGATATTCCAAACATTTGAATGATAAGGTACCTTATCCTGTACAAATCAGCCAGTGAGATTTCTTATAAATGACATGATAGAAGCTTCACTGTTAAACTAATCCAGCTGAAGTAAAGCTTTGGAAATAGATGACTTTGCCATTGTAGGCTGCAGGTTACTAAACAAACCTAAGGTAAGAATATATAACACTTGATGATGAAAACTCAGACAGGGTAAAACAAGACGGGTGGGTGTTTATTTGTGTCTTCTCAACACCTGCCCTTCCTCACCAGAAATGTCCAAAGCTAAGCAGAAACCTTTGATACTGGAACAACTGTTAGTTTAGTCTAGTCCAGCTCCTGAACACTCAGGGGTTTTGCCCAGTCATGCCTTTATTGTGTGCCTTCCTAAATGAGGGAGTGAGGAGTGAGGAGAGGTGGATTTGCTGCCTCGTTTCCTCCTTTCTGCCCTCCTACAGTGAGGGAAGGAAGTAGGTGCTCTGGCATATTTTACTGAAGGCTTCCTGAAATAAGTCTGATCTGAGAGGAAAGGAAGCGGAGGCAACATTAAGGGGACGGACAATTCCTGTGCAGCTGAGAGGACCTCTGAAATCATATCCTGCCAAATTCCCCCCTCTACCCTGATCTAGATTAGAGAGCAACCGAGCGAGCAAGAGAGAGAGAGTTATTGCAATATTTAATACATCACGGTATTTGATGATGTATGATTCTGCATTAATAACGTTAATGAACGCTCGCTTTCATAGTACTGCTACTTCATGCAACAAGAATGTCTCACAAATCTGACACAGCTTGTTTTGACTGGGCTGTTTTCTTCTATTTTCTTCTCTTAAGACTGCATCAAATAGAAACTCACACAGCATTGTGAACATTACCTACACAGAAACCACATTTCCAGAAAGGAAACTTACTATTTGTTTTAAACCATTCTTTCTAAATTATATGGGCATCTGAATGACATACAGTACTGTGTAAAAGTCATAGGCAACCCTTTCATTTATTTAATTTCCAGTCAAAACAGCCATTATGTACAAGCTATTCATTTGTCAGCATCAAAAAAAAGCAGAAAACGTATTTCACTGAAAATGACACTAAATTCTCTGCAGCCAAATATAAAATCATTCTTTCAGTATTTAGTGTCTCCACACTTTGCCATTATTACAGACATTCCTTTTGGGGGAATTGCTTTGAGTTTTTTTAAGTTCTTGCACCGTTGTTAAGAGTCTTATGTTTTAATCTCCTGTTTTGGAAATTCAAGGCCTCTTTCGAGTGAATCTCCCTGTATTTCCTTAAGTCATTTTAGATTTAAATGAGAAAGAAACCTGTGAGGCAGCTAATGTGTGTTTGGATAGTTGCTAGTGTGAATGTTCGATAGATACAGATATAATGCTCACCATCTTTCAATGAATACTGCAAAAACTGAAAAGTGGTTGCTTGACACTAACACTTATATACCAGTATAGACTATACATTACTTAGTACTATCTGCAGATCACTGACATTTCATCTTACTTCACTGGGATCCCATAGGGAACCCTATCTCAAGTCCTGGAATGCTACTGTATTGTTCTCTTTCCTGACAAATCCTTCCAACTTCCAATCATGATTATAGATCAGTGGCACCCGTAGCCTGGTTCCGCCTGGGTCTGCTCATGAGATACAGATACAGCTCTATCACTGACAGATGGATTAAAGCTTGCAGCTGCATTAGCCTTTTGATAAATAAAGTGTCCGACCAGACGCCAGGCCCCACCTACAGGGAAAATGATGGGAATAGGCACTGAAAAGGCATTCTTGGACTAATTAAATCTGACTGCAGTCACAGATAACCAGCCTCAGTGTCAGCACACAGAGAAGCTCAGCACCGAAATGATGTTTACCCGGTCTCATTTGGTGTTCCACAAAAACGAACTAATCCACTTATAAAAATATGATTATCTCTGCATCTCTGACACGATTCAGCCACAATACCACACACATGCTAAACAGTAGCTGCAGTATGTAGCTAAAGCCTTGAATAATGAGTCTGAAAGTGAAATTTTAATTTTAATATGGATTATGGTAAAAGCCAAGCTTACATTCTGGCAAGTAAATAGGGAACTAGAAGAAATATGAAACAAACTCCAAATGTGCATAACTGCTCACCCAGCTATTTTTAAATTTGTTTCTTTGTTCAGCTGAAAGTTTAGTACATGCCTCCAGATTGCACCACAAAACATCTCTTGAACTTTCCCTCACCTGCAAAACGTCACTCAGGCTCCTCCGGTGTCCATCCACAATAGCAAACGGCCTCGTCCTCTCCAAAGGCTTAACTCCTCTGCTGCGACCTGGCACTAAAGACAGAGAAAAAGACAGTGAATTATACTAATTATTTATATTATCAGTGACAGTGAATCATACAAATTATATATTAGTAGAAAAGCATAATGAATACAGATGCTTCCAGACAGACATACTGCATGATAAAATTAAACAACTGACGTCCTACCATGCTCTGTGGCATGTCTAAAAATGCTGAGCAGGTCCACCTGACCTTGCTTTTGGATGAAGATGGCAAGAGGGACAGATTTACACAAGAAAAAAAGAAGAGCAACCGTTCCTCAGGTGCCCAAGAATGTCAATGCCTGTCCAATGCCTGTCCACAGCTACACAGACAGGGATTTTATAGTAGGTTTGCAGTGCATAAACCCCTCATTACAAAGGTGAGTATACATGAACGCGGTCCGATGAGACATCCTTCACCATATTCTCCACAAGTGGTAGAGTGCATGTGTGGCTTACACCAAGAGAACAGTACAGGCCTGAACGCTTGAGCCCTACAGTGAGGGGGTCTGGTGGTTTTGTTGTGCTTTGGGGTCATTTTTCCAGCATGGTTTGGGTCGACTTGTCCCCTTAGAGAGAAGGGTCACTACAAATCAATACAAAGTTATTCTGACTGATCACCTTTATCCTATGATGAAACATTTCTATACTGATGTGAGTGGTCTCTTCCAAGATGTCAGTGCCACATCCACAAGGGCACAAGGGGTCACTGAATGGTTTGATGAGTATGAAAATGATCATATGCTGAGGCCTTTGCAGTCCCTCTATGGGAGATTTTGAAGTGCCAGACAGTGTTATCCACCACCATCATCAAAACACCAACTGATGGATTATATTTTGAAAGAATGTTGTTCCATCCCTCATGTACAGCTCCAGAGATGTATAGAACCTATGCCAAGGTGCACTGAAACTGTTCTGGTGGCTTGTGGCGGACCAACACCTTAATAAGACACTTTTTTTTCCCTTTAATTTGTTACTCCTCTATTATTATTAATATTATTAAGTGCCGTCAAGTTGTTTCCAACTCCTCAGAGCATCAGACTTGTCAATGGTTAGTTCAAGATTCCTCTAATTGTACCCATGCATTTTGTAGCTGGTGGTTCTCTTCCTCTTTTACCTTCAACTCTTCCAAGCACAATGGTCTTTTTCAATTAAATGGTTCTTCTCAGAATGTGTCCAAAGTAAGATAGCTTTGGTTTGGTTATCTGGGCTTTGAGTGAGAGGTGAGGCTTGATATGGTCTACGATCCATTTGTTTATTTTTTTTTGCCATCCAAGGTACTCTCTAAAAGTCTTCACCAACACCAAAGTTCATAGGCATCTATATTTCTCCTGTCACACTTCTTTATTGTCCAGCTTTTACATCCATACAGAACCACAGAGAAGACGACAGCCTGGACAATTCTGATCTTTGTTTGCAGAGACAAATCGTTAGATTTAAAGATCTTTTCAAGCTGCTTCTATCATTATATGATCTGCAAACAGGATGAACAGGTATGGTGGTAGTGCCAATGTAGAACCATTCTGTTTGTCCATTTTCTGTCCTGACCGTGGCTTGCTGATCAGTGTAGTTTCCTCATCAGAAGAATAAGATGCTCTGGTATTTCCATTTTCTTGAAGGCTTTCCATAATGTAATGTGGTCAACACAGTCAAAGGCTTTGCTGTAGTCAATAAAACAGATGTTGACTTCCTTCTTGAATTCCTTGGCTTTTTCAGTGATACAATGTATAGTGATTGAAAAATGAGGGGAGGTCAGCATTTCTTATTTTCAGGTCTAACTGTTACTTTTTGGGAGCCAACTGGATGTGATCCAAACAGGGAACCCAACCCAGTCTCAATAACATTATCATCATCATCATCATACTCATCAGCAGGGCATTATCAACAATAGTGCACTACAGCAGGCTCAAACAAGCGAACTTTCCCATCACTGCTACGTAACAGTCACCCACCTATTAGATGGCTACACGCAGTTTCTATTCTTTCTTGTAATTTTCACTGTAAATAGTATTAAAAAACATGGTTCATCTTGGAGGTCCAGTCAGTACTCCTTTATAGAAAAAAATATCCAGAATAAATATTGTGCTTGCTAGTGTACAGAACATGAAAGAAGAGGCAGCTGAGGTATAGTGAGACATTTTTCCAGGTCACTGACAACAGGGAGTTTCCACTTATCTCCATGGTAACATGCCATATCGACTACTTGTAAGCAGTTATTTATTGATGCCAATATTATATAAACTGTAATGGTAACTTCTATACACTATTAGGATGGGTCATATAGCCTAAAATGTATCATGATAATGATAAAATGTTATATTGCTCAGCTCTACACACTACACCACTAAACACTGAGCAGTTTTGCATTAAAATTCACAAGGGACTGTTGATACTAGGTGTGTTACAATATGCATATAAATAAACTCATTTTTATTTTATACACTGCTTAGATAATATTTATTGCAAACTGAATACAGTTACATTTTAAACTATTATGCTTTGTAATATTACATATAAAGACATAAATGGAATTGTTTCCACTGTTCTACTAAAAAACACTCCATGATAATCCTAAAAAAAACAACCACAAAACTCCCTTGTCCTGCACCCAAAAGCATGTATACTTTGTGTATATTTACATGTATGTTTTCTATGAAAATGACTTGTTTGTTATACTTTCACCAGGTTTTGGGACTTTGACAAGAAAAAAAGCAAAATAAACCCTGGAATTTATTTTTGAAATGTATGTACTGTTACAGTCCTAATGGATACTGTCTGAGGAACATAACTAACATTATTATATAACTGCCTGCAAGTATATGAAACTTAGTCCCAGGATGCAATTCATCCCTATCAGTACCCCTTCAACACTACAGGCATCAAGGAGTCTGTGTGTTACAGACAAGCATCTCCATGTGGGAAAAACCTAAGGGTCAAATGAGGACAAACAGTAATTCTAGTGTACAATGTATAACTTGCCAAACATGAACACAATCTACTGGACTATAATGTGCATGTTTCCTTGACATCTACGGTTACAGTAGTGGAGATGTGTCCAAGCGTGGTGAAGTTTCTCAGGCTACTCTCGGGAAATAAGCAGCTGCACATAATGTTTGTGTATGTTTTATGTCTGTGTGTGTTACCTACAGCTGCAGTAACTCTGTATACACAGATGTGGATTAGCAACAGTCTCAACTCTGAGTAGTCTGTGCCAGACAGCAAAAGCAATGCATTTAAATTAAAATCTGAACTATACACATTTAGATACAGTCAGAGTAGTGACAATATTTATGAATTTTACAATGACGTTATTCAATACTGCTGCTGTTCATTCATTCTATAATTTCTCAAGCAGCCACATGTATAAGCACATTGCCTGCAACAGCAGTAACTCTGTATACCATTCCCATTGTCTTTTCAAAGAATCCAGGTTTTGTGCAGTTTGTATTTAGTAAATTACTGTTAAAGTTGTGCCCAAAATATTAACATAGTAATACCAATCACCTTTTTAATATTAATTTTGGGAAGCTCTGGTTTGTCTACACTCCCCTTAGACGACACAATGCTGTCTTATTCACTTCCTTTCATGCTGCACTGTAAATGACATCTGTGCTCAACCTATTAGATCTTGGATACATCATCATCCAATCATCCAAACATCATCTAATTTTCTCACATGAATCATAACACAACACTGTGTACCATATGGTGACCATGGCAGTAAAGTACCATCCAGTGGTCAGACCTGAGAGAAGCGTTTGTGTGTACTGAATGTGAGTAAACATTCATACATGCTGGCTCTTTACTCACTACTGAACTTCATAGTGAGAACCCTTGACACTGGACCTACTTTACAATACAATTTTTGCTCAGTTGTAAAAAACAACAAGGAGTTTATTGACTTCATTCACACTTTTTGTTCTTGTGAAGCCCATACATTTACATACTCCAGATTGAAACTATCACATTTTTCTAGCTTGATGTTATTTAACTAACTCAACAATTATCTATTAAGACAAATCTGGTAACTACTCTATAGGGAAACTTAACTTACTTTAGTGTACACTCTTTTAAAATAATTGTGCCAAATGAGGTTCTCTGAAGCAATGCCATAAATGAACCACTTTTGGTTCTCTAAAGAGCCTTACAATTTCAAGGACCCATATCATGAAAATAACACATTTTCAACAGTTTTTTTTGGAATAAACGAGTTTGATGTAGAATGCAAATATGCCAAAGTGTTAAATCATACCATTCACTCCGCAGTCCATATAGTCCATATGAGCAGCAAAAAAAGAGCCCATTTTGAGTTAATTGTTTTTGTGATGTCATAAAAAACGAATGCATCTACATATGTCCATCTATTCAGCCTACGGCAGTTTAGCTCTTCCCATTCACGCGGAAGTCAGAAGAATTGTACCAGCCTAGACTGCCTTTTGACTGATGCACAATTTAGGACAGTCAATCAGAATACAGCATATTTACATATATCAGTCTTAAAGGCACAGTAACAAAAACATCCTGTCTAATTATAAGAGACAAACAGATATTGGAAAATGGACATGTAAATATTAAGCATGACAGATTTTGCTACAGAAAACTACAATGACCGAGGAGGAGTTCTCATAGGAAATGACAAGTAGAAAGAATCCTCATGACTTTATGACAAACTACAGATCACAGGTGTTCATTTCTGATTCAAAATTAAACATAATTTTGTGATCTCCTTGCTTAAATATACCTGATTCAGTTCATTCATTTCCAGATTTAGTTGGTGTATCTGAGCAAAGAAATCAGCTAAATAAACTAAATCTCCCCATGCTTGTCTTGGTGTGAATGGGAAGCTATGTGGTTTGTGGCCTGCACTGTAAATCTGACAGGTGCTGTTCTGACTCCCCGTGTAAGTGCACGAGGTGCACGAGACACACACTCCTGAAAAGTGCCGTCGTGGCAAACAGTTCAATGCCTCATAAATCTTCCCAAGTTTGGTTTTAATATATGGCATAGTTATCTGGGTCTAAAGAGCTCTTTGGATCATAGGGACAGAAAACACACCTCTATGCTCTTAAAAGTATTCTGGCTCTTGGCTTGGATGTATGGCTCTTGGAAACAGAAGAGCCTTGAGCTGATAACTGAGATAATTAAATATTTCAATAATTTGAATACTGCCAATATTATGCAAATTGTCATTTTTTCATTCCTCTTTTGCATTCAATGTGAGTTTTTTAATTGCTGCACTTTTACTTAAACATCCCTCTTGTACAATGATTCTATTCATTGTTCAGTTAAAAATGCATGCATTATATCGTTTATCAAGATAATTCTATTGACAATACTTGTTTGTCTGTATTTACATTACAGAACTTTTATATTATGTGAGTTTTCTGAACTTTAAAAAGGCTCTTCACACAGCACATCTCATTTAGAAAAGTGGTTCTTTGAAGAACCATCCACTGAAAGGTTCTTTAGGGCTTCAATTAGTCCTTAATGGCATCTTTATAGTACCTATAATTTTAGTAACTTACATTGTAGGCCTACCAAGTACAGCTCCCCTAACCAAGGCTCAGTGAATGAGTGACTCATACCTGAGTGTGAAGAGTGAGATATTTCAGTACTGTTTGGTCCATATCTGTCTGCAGCAGCTCTGCTATCAGTATTCAGCACTCCCACAGGTGCAGATGATGCTGCTGGCTCGCCATCTTCCAGCGGTCCAAGGCTAGTGTTTCCAGGTAATAGAGTCTGTGTGGAGGCCAGAAGAGGAGGAGTGCCCTCAAACAGCAGCACAGTGAGAAAGGCTCGCCATAAAACCGTTATCAGGTGGCAATCGGGGGTCATCCTCCTCTATGTTTCATTACACACCACAGGCAGCAAAAAAGTCCAGATCTAGAGCCAGTCTGACCTCTCACAGCTCTCACAGGACTTCCACGGAGCCAGCACTAATCAGAAGACTTAAATCCAGTCCTTAGTCAGTCTATGGAACAGCAACACAGTGCCTGGCTGTTCGCACAGGCACTAAAACAGCAGTGTAAAAATGCGTAAAGGCGTAGTAGCTCGTGTGTCTTGTCTCGTTCACCTGCTGCTGAGTCTACGATCAAAACTGAAGGCTGGATCTCGGCCCTGTCCGCTTATCACTCTTTCAGAATCAGAATCAGTTTCACCAAGACGAGAAAAGAAATCGCTTCTACTTTTTCTCAGTTCCTAACCTGCGTAGATCTCCCTCTCTCTTCGGCGTGGCCGCACGGCTCTGGAGCTCCTGCTGAAGTGAATGTTTACATGGAGGAATCGCGTCTAGCTCCGAGCCCAGCCCAGCAAGGCGGGATTTCCTTCAGCATGTTAACCCTTCACTGCCCGGTGATTTGGACTGCAACATCACTGCACCTTCTTTCTTTATTTGTTTCTTAGTTTCTTTCTTTTTGGGGGGTAAATATGAAAAGTAGTCTTAACGCTCTAACAAAATAACTCATTTAATGTACGTCAGTTCTAGAGATAATATCACATCACAGGACAGATCTTTATTTAAAGAGACAGTAACTTCAGGGACATAAAAATATTGATAATATATAATCTAATTATGAAAATAACATTTATAGTTTAGAAACGACTTAAACTCTCATACAATATGAAAAGACTGAAAGAGTTTATTGATTGTACCTCCTATATTCATAATGGAAATAAAAGACAACCATAGGAAGCATGAAAAAAACCTTATGTCTAATAAACCAAAACATAACACTAATATATGAACATAAAAACATAACCTAACACTAATGTGTGTGTGTATATATATATATATGATTTCTAATTTAATAATATATATAGAGGTTTACTGTTATGCTGCTAATTTAAATTTGAAAATCTATATATCTATATATCTATATATATATATATCTATATATATCTATATATATATATATATATATACATATGACCCAGAGTTTTTTTTCTTGATAACATTAATTTGTCCATTTTACATTCTGTTTTTCAGCCTAAACCACCAGAGTCGAATAAAACATCATAAATAAATCCATAATAATCCATAGTTACTGACTACAATAAGACACACTTAAGACACTCTTAATTAGGCTATGATTACAGTAGCTAACTTTCTGCATAAACAAATCACCTTTGTAACCTTTACTAAGGCTTGACAAAGATATGCATGATGGGTAAGAACCATCAACACAGTGGAAGTGACATGCTTGTTTATTCATGGGGATGTTTTTTTGTTTATATTTTTTCTATTTAAATAGTAATGCCTAGTTGTGTTGAAGGTTAAAATAGTTTGTTTTGCTTGCTGAGAGAGTATGAAATCAGTTGACATAGTAAACATCTGTATCAGAGTCGCTGTCCTGAGGCTCACTCTGTGTGTAGACTGAGCAGACGTAGCAACTGCTCATGTCTCTCCAGCACTGCAGACAGTAGAGAGCGGTGCAGTGAGGAGCAGGACACTGCACGGCCTGGCTCTGTCTCACAAACTCCTCACATACCCAGCACCAACAAAGCCTACAGCCCACCCACTCCAGAGGAGACAGCAGCATAGATAACACCTGGGAAAGAGAAAGAGAGAGAGACGGGGGGAGGTTATCAGGGTGATTCTGTCATCCTAGTTTCTATTTGTTGATTATGGTGATATGATGAAAGTGTTGCAGAATTAATTGCAGAACTGCAAACTTAAGTTTCCTTCGGTCCATTATTCTCTCAGATTCCTTCCATAATATTCTAGGACTAGGATCTGCATTTACGATCATGCCAAAAACTCTCTCTAGAGTTTATTAAAAATTCATAGTAGTATTCATAATGCATATGAATACAACTTTTAATGCCACTGAAAAGTGGAATTTTAACCCTTAGAAGTCGCTGGCAACAACAAAAACATAATCTTTTATCAATTATTTGTCAGCAGTAGCTCGTTGAAACAAGCTGAGAAATTCTGTCAAAAGTGCAGATTCAAAACTTTCAAATGCTACCAAACTGTAAATAGAAGAGAAGATATTTTATGATTTGAATGTAATGAAAACGTATAGTTGTGCTTAAGATCTTGTTTTATGAAAAGAAAATTAATCTTTAACATTTCTTTTTCTGCAATTTATTAACATTGAAACAAATGGGGAGAAGTCTGAGGTGCTGATTTAAACCTGTTTTACAGAATGTAAATTGAATGTAAATGATACTCATTATGTAGCTATGTAATTGTCTAAACAACAATAACTCTAGACTTCTAAGGGTTAAGCATTAGCAATAAAGTTCTGAGCTAAAAACCAGTGTGGATGGTTTATAGTTCTTTTTAGGAATGAAAGTTTAGTGAAAGTCGTGCATACAAACCACGTTTGGTGGTATTTGTCGCCTCCTCAGTCGTTTGCACAGTCTGTTGACACATGAAATGCGTCTCTGGATCTGCAGGTTATAGAGGAAAAGAATGCGTCTTTTCTCTCTCTGTCCAGGACAAAAAACAGGCAGGTCAACACAAATGGAAGATCCAAACACATTCACAAGAAATTAGTTATGTGTAATATATAAGATACTGTCCTAATTTTTTTAAGTGCTCAATTTTGTGGGCAATGTTTAAAGCTCTTCAGCCATTGTATCGTTAGGCTGACCACTGCATGGCTGACCACTAACATATCACTGCATGCATTATTAAATTTGCATGTAAATATTTGTCTTATTGTACATGGCATAATTAATCAAATTTTTTACATTTATTTTTTTGTTTTACACTGCCGAAAGACATAACCATATTCACTGCCCAAGCATAAAGAGAAAAAAAAACATTAAAGCCAAGTATGCATAAAGTGCAAAAGTATAAAAGTATCCAATGTTAAACATAAAGCATTCAGTTTCCCAATGAAATGGGAAAATGTCTTCTATATTGTAGAAACAGAAAGTAATTGTTGCCATATGGCAACATCACACATTAAAGGGTTCATGAACTTATGAATCCTGGAGCTTTCAGGGAATTCTACAGCTAAACAAGAGTGGAGTCTGACTGCTATCACCTAGTTATGAATCTTATAAATTGGACAATATAGAGCATTGCTGAAAGCAGTGAGCTATATATCTGAGAGTGAACTGTGTAATAGTCTTATTGATGTGGCAGCTGTTTCAATCCTGAAGGAGCACCTAATCCTTACGGCCGCACGGGCCCTCAGAATACTGTGTCTAATGCTATTACTGTAAACCCTCTTGGCTTATTACTACCACACACACACACACACACACACACACACACACACACACACAAACACACAGGACGTTTCTCCTCTCTCACACTTCATTTTCTGTTAAGCCAACTGAACTCAGTGAAACCCAATGAAGCACAATTCCAAGTTTCAAAGTGCTGTGAATGATGCTAACAGCCAAGTCCTGTTTTTATTATGTAAGAGTTTTACATCATTCTGCAACTCTTCTGAGACATCAAATGCACTGAAATACTGCATTATCTTTTCAATGGTCTTGTTGCCTAATTGGGAATTAAGATTAATCATCCAAAACAAATATGAGCCCAGTTGGCTGTTCACCCTGAGGAAGCTAAAATGTTATTCAAGTTATAAGTAATAACATTTATTTAAAGTCCAATGGGCCTTCATTTCCACACAGAGCTTGCAACACTGAACAACGTCTGACCCTGTATCACAGAAAGCAATCTGTGAGAACTGAGTGGAACCCTGGAGTTTATTGTTGTTTCATAAATGACAGTAAATAATAACTATATGAGGGAAAGTAATTTTGTGCAACATTGTGCACTGTTTGTTTCGATTTTGCTGGATATGGGGGACCTTTAACGTTTGTTCAAACCTTCCTGTGCCAAGAGCGCAACAGCAAAACAACGGGCTGCACAATAATAAATATTCTCCTGCTGGAAATCCTGATTTAAACACGCATTGACTGGGAGAAAGGCCAGCAGCTGAACACACATCATGTGCTGAAGTCCCTCTATTTGTCCTTTTTGAGTGTAAGACATAAGCTCCTTGCTCCTAATTAGTTGCTTATGTTTCATGCTTTTCAATGCATTAGTTACTATAACAGATCTTTTTAGATCACTGTAGCTGTGTTTCTCAGCTCCAGTGCTAGAAGCCGCTTGCACTGCACATTTCTTCTTTTACCCATTCTCTTAAACCAGCAGGATCAGCTCAATTTAAAGAGCTTAAGAATGCATGTTTGTGCTGGATAAAATACAATTACAAAAGTGAGCCGCATAGGGAACATGGCTGGAATCAAGAACTGTGGCATTAAACAGTGAAGGTGGTATTTTTTAATCACAATTTGATTTTTCATAGGCTTCATCACGTGACTAAAATGAAAGTCAACACCCAGACAAAGCCTCCAGGCAAATGCGTTTGAAATACAAAGCTCCATTAATTCCTACTGCAAACTGACCTAATTTGTACAAAAGAAATTGAACAAAACAGCTTTGAGAATGTAATATAGTTCATTCAAACTAATTGAAAACAGGGAACCTACCCTTTAAAGGGACAATATTTCCTCTATTTTATTTTTACCCTTGAGGTCCACTAATAACATTTGTGTCCTTTTATGCACCAACAACACAGTAGTACGTCATTCTTACATGACCATTTTCCTTCCTCTCTTTATCCCTCAGAATTAAACAGGCTGTTTTTGTTACTATGCCTTTAAGACTGATATAAGATAAATTACCTCTGTTCTGATTGGTGGCCCTGTATTAGGCCCCATTCAAAAAGCACTCAGAGCTAAAACACAGCATACAACTTCAATATGAATGGGCGCAGCAAATCTGCTGTGGGCTGAAAAGTTAGATACTTGTAAATGTGCTGTTTTTGTTGTGACATCACAGATACAATGAATTCAAAACAAGCTGTTTTTGCAGTTTATTTTTTGTAAATTGACCAAATGGACTGGGTAGTCAATGGTATGTTTTGAAACTTTAACAATGTTTATATATGTAACTTCAAACTCCTTTATTTGAAAAAAAAAGATGGATATTTGTTTTTTTTCGTGATATGGGCCCTTTAAGACTTATTTATGTAAATTATCTCTATACTGATTGTCTGTACTGTATTGCGCATCATACAAAAAGCAGCCCAGGCTGAAACACTCCTTATAACTGCAATATGAATGAGTTGAGCTGAACTGCTATAGGCTGAATAGGTGGTTATATATGTATAAATTTTATATCTCAAAAACAAAGAATTTTTGAGATATAAAATGAGATTTGAGATATTGCAGCTGTTTCTATTTATAGGCTAGGGAGTTAATGGTATGTTTTAAAACTTACACATTGTATTCACATTTTCCACGATATGGGCACTTTAATGTGTCTTTTGCAAATTTCCTGGTCAGTTATATCTAGTGTAGTTATACCTTGGATGAACATCTAACATTACTCATTTGACTTTTCTTTATTGATTGTTTTATACTTTTACTCACAATCAAATTGGGATTGTAGATTGTGTTGTTAATAAGTAGTCATATGTGACCAAATGACTAGATTTAATATGGTAGATTAAGTAATAAAAACTCAGTATTTAGCCTTATGGTGTTACTGATTTAAGAATTTTGTATATAAGAAAGTTCAGAGAGGATATGGAGCAAGGTAAAATTTCAGATATGGACATTAATGGGTTAAATCTAAAGTTCAAGCTGAGTATTGAGTGTGAGAGGTGAGCTGATCATGTGGTACTGTGTGTGTGTGCGTGGATTAATGCTAGGCATTAGCTGTGTGCATGTACAGTATGTAATATAGTACTAGAATTAGCGCTATGGATATCATGTTACATCTGTTTGGTTATGTAATACTAAACGTGATCGGCGCTTAGCAGGGAGAGATTGCACATGCAGCACAGTGAGTCATTCAAGCTGCTCTGCCCTGGGACGGATAAGAAGTTCCTAATGAATGGCCAGCACACTTGATGACTTGTTTACTGTGAACGTACTGAACCACCTCAAAAACTAAAACACCCACTTGTTACAAGAAAAAGAAGAGTTTTGCAAAACATGTAAGTAAATTTAACAGGGTCTGAATAGCTGGGTCTGAATAGCATGAATAGCAGGGTCTGAATAGCATGTTAAACACACGTTTAATAAACAATCCTCAATATAATTATCATTAAAGCAAATGTTTATTGTTTATTAAATCTTCTGCAAGTGACATATTCCTGCCATTAGAGTAGGTAGTGCACTATGCTGTGCACATGTTGTGCACTAAAAGCAGTCAGATCATAACTTAGTATTATACTGTATATTTGCTGTAATGTACCATGTTTCTATGCATATTTTAGTGTGCTTTACAATAGGTTGTTTGTAGAATGTGACTATATTTTCTAAGCATACAAGCACTATGAGAGCTATGAGATATGTAGTGCTGGAGTTGAAGCCTACAATCATGTGTTTAAGCAACTATGATAAAGCAGATGCCTTATTACGTATGACACTATACACTAAAGATGTCTGCTTTCCTTCTTCTTATTTATCAGTAAAGGTTTGTTGTATTACCTTGGGGAAGTAGAAGGTGGTGATGACCCTCCGCAGGCGGTTAGTGTAAACCTGCAGGCAGCACATGAGGCCCATCAGCAACAATGGGAGGACACTCCATAGGTAATCTGCCTGGCTCAGAGCACGAGGCTGTGGGAGACACTCTGCATGCGCACATACACACACACACACACACACACACACACACACACAAAGTTTTTTTAATATAATGTTCGTACACACATACATTTGGGTCCAAAAGTCTGAGACCACATTGAAAATCTGGAATTCTTTCATTTAAACATAAATGAAGAAGAAATATTACCGATTCTTCATTTCTGTTTACATTTAAGCACATGTGTGACACTGACCTTGATGCTGTGGTCAGTGAACCATTTGTGTGTTGATTTTGAGGTGTGCTTTGGATCATTGTCCTGCTGGAAGGTTATTAATCTTCCTACCTGAGGCGGTCAGGTTTTGATTGTAATTCTTGATTTTGTTGCTGGAAACCATGTATCTGAATAAATTGACTAGGGCCTTTGGAAGAAACATATCTCCCCAGTATCATAGATCCACCACCATACTTCACATTGGGGATAAGGTACTTCTCTACATGGCTTTCTTGTGTCCATGCCAAACTCACCTCTCTATCTCTATTTTGGCCTCATCTGACCATAGAACACCGCCCCCTTGAAAGTTCCTGTAACGTCTGGCAAACTGTGGCCACTTGAGTTTGTTGGTCCTTGACAGCAGATTCTTAGTTGTTTTAAGCTACTTAATTATTGCTCTGATAGTGGAAATATGCATTTTCAGCTGTTTAGCTATTTTCTTGTAGCCACTTCCTGATTTGTGCAGTTCAACAAACTTTTGTCTTACATCAGTGCTGTTTTCTCTGGTCTTTTTCTCTGGTCCTAAAGAATTTCTAGGGGTGCCAATAATTTTTTTTTGTTCATCACAAGATTTCTTTCAATCACTACACTTTAAGTAAAGGTTAGATTTTTGCTAATATTTTGAATCAAAGATGAAAAAGAATGAGTAATTAAGAATTTTTTACAGCTTTTTTTGCTCATAATTACCAGGGGTGCAAAATTCAGTCTTAAAAGTTAGTTTCCTTTTCTGCTTCTCATGAGCCAGGGCCAAACACATTCAATGATGTTGAGGGCTGTTCAGTCCATTGTTCTGAGAACACCAGTAGCTTTGATTTTCACTTTTTCTTTCTTCATGTTTCTTGTTTTTTCAGTAATGACTTCTTGACATCTACACATCCTTTCATGATTTACCCCAGATGCAGTTGATCAGGAAGATATTTGGTTTCTTGAATTCACTTCTTTTGTTTACAATGGGATATGCTGGGCTAGCATATTGCTAACAAGCACTGGACTGTCTTCATACGCACCTCAAAAAGATCAACCAGCTAGTCTATAAAAACAAAAATAAACTTCTCTGCATAAATGAGTGACAGGGGGGCCATTGTAAATAACCGGAACTACTTTTACCTCAGCACAACATGTGGTATCATTCGACGCAAGACATCCAAAGGTGGGGCTGTGTGAAATCTTAATTACAGAGTTGATACTTTTGCAAGATACTTTTAATGAACTCTTGCTAGTTTGTGGTTTATTGCCAAAAGCCACAGTTTTCATGTTTCTGCATCATTAGAGAATTTGTGGTAATATTCCTAACTGCACACAGACTTTTGTGTCCTGTTTACTGTTTATACAAAATGCTTCCTTTTTGTAGCTTTACTGTTATTCAAGGTGCAGATTCCAGCTAACTGTCTTATAGTTATGAAACCTTAGCTATGCTAAAAAACACAACGAAATACCTGCGTAGTGATGGTTTGATGTACAACACACCCCTTGCAATCCAGCTTGAAAGTGGAGTAGTACTACAAAGCAGGACGTCGTATGGATAAAAATCTAGTTCAAGTTTTAGCTTACATGTTTAAATAAGGTCTATCTGTCCAGACTAAATTATAGTACTAACTAAATTATTTATTTTTTAAACTTGTTTACATTGCTTTTTGAAGCAAATAAATTGCCAAGATCTTGCCATGTATTTCCCAGATAAGATTAGTGATAGCCTAAGTTCAGTATTTGTTAGTCTAGCATCTTTCTCTGTGAACTAAAGAAGCAGACATCAGATATCAAACATGTCATAGTTTACCAGCCTTATCTAAGGTATTTGATATATCATTCAATTTTTTTCGATTTTTTCTCCAGACTATTCCTTTAAGTGCTGTTTATCTGATGTTGACAGTTTGGTGGTCTACTTGGTCTTGCATGGTTGTTTGGTTATAATAATAAAAACTCTTTGGAAACTTCTGTTTTTTTCACTTATTTTCCTTACATGTAGTCTCCTTCTACATGTAATAAGGGTCCTATATGTATTATATGTTTATGCCTATATGTAGTAAGACCGACTCTAAAGCTAACCTGTTCGCATACACATATACACGGACGTATTTTGAAAAAAGTAGGCCTTCATGAACCCATTTTGTCCTTGCCTCAGAATCTGAGACCGGAACAAATAAACAATTCTAGTGACAACTGAACAGATCAAGAGCGATTACAGGATTCAGAGCCACCTTTTTCTGAACGCAGGATGACATTCTAAAAATATGACTGACTTAACATGCCTGGATGGCCTGATCTTCATTTTTTGGTCCCTGAATGATATAATGCCATATAAATGAACTAATAATGCAGAAGGTAATCAAAATAAAAACTACAGTGTGTGAGATCTGCCATGGCCCTTGTCCTGCTTAAAAATAGCCCTATCAACAGCCACTGCATGCACCCATGTGCTGCTGGCCTACCATCATCAGACCTGGTTGGACAGAGGCCAGACTAAGCTCTCCTCAGTTTTAACTGCCTCATCCAGCAACCTTGATCAGCTTAAGCTCACAGCCAGACCAAACATGCTCATGCAATATTCATGTTAACGCAGCTCTTTTATTATAGATCTCTGGCCTGAAGACACTGTCACACATTTTAAGTGACAGACAGACTAAGAGTATTCTTATAGAACGCTATTCTCAGAGAATGCTTAACAACTCTCTGGTTCTCACCATCCGTTGTGTTTGCATATTAAATCAAATATCATATGAGTGATATGACATGCACGAAGAGTTGAATGCAGTGGAATGGAAGTGGTGTTAGCCTTACTGTAGGCTATATTGTGAATGGACTATAACCACATTACATGCCACCTCTGACCTCTAAAGGAGGAAACCAAACAGCTCATTAACTAAATCCAGCTCAGCAGAGGTTGAAGAGGTTGCTAAAGACTGTGTGCCAAGGCTTCAACTATAAATGTGGGACCTTGAATGCTACTAGAATCTATGATTCACAAGACGGATTCTCTGAGCCTTGGTGTCTGATTTGGATTAAACAATGGCAGTAAGTCAGCAGGTAGGTCACTTACGCTGGTTACTGGATTGCATGTCCAGCTTGGAGGTGGTGTTGAATGCACCGATAGTTTTCCGCAGGAGCTTAGCTAACATGGACTCTCCATCAACATCAATGCGTATGTCATGACTGCCTATAAAACCAGCAACAAGAATTGGCACACATTTCAGAAACATTTACAAATACATCGTCACTGTCATATAAATATGTAATTTTTTTGTTTTCATTTTTACACCATTTGAAAACATTTGCTGGCCTTTACATTGTGTAAACATTTCATAATATATGTACCAGTAGAAACAGTCCAAAATTGCTGGGAATACAATCTTACTACATTAGTATACAATAAAACTACTCATCCTATAAAGTTACAAGGTTCTGTTACCTGTGTTAAAACACATATGTTATACTCACTTGTAAGGGAATACTCTGTAAAGGTGTGTCTACGGATGATGTTGAAGATGTGGTAAAGAATACCATCAGTGGCCAGAATAACACTTACAAAGAGAGCCAGAGAAACAACCTGCACCAGGCCCGCTATCTATACAGTAGAGATTACATTTTATCACATCTTTATGTCCTTTTATGGTTTAGTAACAGCAAAGCTAAAGCTTCTATTTACAAATCCAAAAAGGGTTAGTACTTATTTAACGTAATCCTAAAGACTGTACCACAAGTTTGAACTCGCTGGGATGGATCTTCAAGCTCCAAGGGTCTATAAAACCGCTCCTTTCTGCTTTCTTCAAAGGCAACAGGTACCTCTTACCCTGAAATATTCATTCATAGTCAGCTTAGAGAACAAGGTAACAAGTATCCGTGGTATAGGGAAACAACCTTAGTCTTACTGCTCTCTTTCGCCGTGTATCAATCTGCCTAAAGTAGGTTGTAACGTAGACGTTGTCAAAGCAAATATCTCGAGTGTACTTTTGTGCGTATCCAAAAGCCCTTTGGAGACCAAAATCAAGAAAAATAATATGTTTATGACCTTCAGTAAATACAAACTACCTCTACAAAAACTACTTCACATCAGTTATAAACCTGTCATTAAGTGCAAAATCATGACATACTAAGTAACCAGTAGTAGCAAGGTGTGTATAAGAGAGAATACGTAGACTTACGAAGTAAAAATAGTGATGAACGTGAAAGACAGGAGCATCTGCACAATCTTTGCTATCTGCTCAACAATATCTCTCTTCTCCTGAAATGACCTGCTCAGCTCGTTGCGAAATTCATTCTGAAGATCTGTGACTCCGTATGTGGACTGATCCAGTTTCTACAGAAGCCACAGTACAAGACTAACTTTATCTGATACTCAGGACATGTACATGTACAGAACAGTCTGCTACTGGTCCCAGTGTGTATTGAACCTTTAATCAAGTAAACTTTCATAATTACAGAGCCAAAGAACTACATTGCAATAGTGATTCTCAAACTGGTCCTCCAGGCCCCTAGACGATCCACACTTTTGCTGTCCCACATTTTTGTGTTTGGAGTTGGGATAAAGCAAAAATATAGCCCGTCTGGGGGTCCCTGAGGACTATTCTGAAAACCACTGTGCTACAGAATTTCAACAATGTTCTCTATCAGAATACAGCACAGACAGACCAAACAGGTAATTAAAGTATTCCAAGACAAACTGTACCTGAAGCACAATGTTTGTTGTGAACTGTTCTCCAAGTTTACTGATGGAGAAATTGAGCTTGTCAAAGGTTTGGCCAAAGTTGCCCTCTACTGGGATCTCCTCCTTGCACCATGGAGTCATTACTGAGATAAATATAACTCTGATTTAGCACAAACAAGTGTTATCATAGTAAAACTACATTAAAAAAAAATAATTGAGTTTATTCAAGTGGTTTAGAAAAACTGACTGCCTTGATTCAAAGTTATGTCACTAAATCAGGTAAAGTCATCTATGCCACATCAAGGCAATTGATAAAAAAAAAAAGTAATAACTTGTCCAAAGCACAAAAACAAGTTTTTCTACATGATCTGAATACAGAAGCTGTCCTTTAGATTGTGTGGCAATTTCATGATAAATGGGCCGATACAAATGCTCTAAAACTACTTGGAATAAAATCTCTTCATATTAACTTAATATAACATAACATAAATAGCCATTGTATTTTATTTCTATCCTCTGTGGTTTACTTGTAACATCTGTGTGGGTTTATATGTTCATATTTACATGACTATTTTCCAACTTTATATCTCAGAATTAAATAGGCTGTTTTTTTGTCACTGTGCCTTTAACACTGATATATGTAAATTAGGTCTGCTCTGAATGGCTGGCCTGTATTGTGACTCATTCAAAAAGAAGTTCAGGCTGAACAATCCCATAGGGTGAATGGACGGATATAACCTGATGTAGGCTGAAAAGGCGAATATATGTGAAGTAACACATTTTATGCAGCTTAATTTCCATATAAGAACCTTATACACTAGGTATTGGGGGTACATTTTACAACTTTAATAATGTTTATATGCTACATCAAATTGTTTTATTTAAAAAAAAAGGGGGGAAAAAAGATTTTCCATGATATGGGCCCATTAAAAGTTAAGAATGTTTGGACATATGTTTTTGGGATGAAAATACTGTTACCCAACAGACAAACATAGTCATCAACATAACCACTTACCTCTCATGACATTACACAGGAATTCGAACTTCATAGGCACACAGAGGAAGTGGTTGATAACAGGGGATTTAACTGTGTCCATGCACTCCTCCCACTTAGCACTGAACCACTGCTGACAGCGATCAATGCCTTGATTCACCACATCTACACACAACATTATATCCATTACAACACAAGACACAGTGACCATGCAAATTCATCTAATTTACAGTGTTGATGAACCAGCTTAATGGATACCACCAAATGATGACTACAGCAGAACATAAAACATAGAATGCTCTTAAAAATAAAGGTCCTTTGGTTTGGATGAAGGGTTCTAAATAAAACCTTGTAGTGATGTAAAAGGTTGTTGAAACTTTATAAATTCTTCACATATCTCATCTAGAAAAATTTGGTTTTCTAAAATCCACTGAAAGGGAATGAAAAGTGTTTTTTTTTATAGCATCACTGTGACGAACACTTTCTGTCCACTGTTGAACATACACCTCCTTGAATTATAAAGGTTCTCCATATAATACGGTGAACTAAAATAACAGTAACATTCAAGTTGTTCTGTAAGAGTGTGGCACCCACAGTCACAGCGCATCATGGTCTTTGCAGCATACTGTTCCTGGGTACTATTTCCTGCAGCTATGGGATTCTGGCTGTCATATCCGTACTGGCCCATCACCTCATCCCTGATGCCCTGGAACTGCCTGCTCACATTCTGGGCCTCTCTCTGGAGCTTCACATTGTCATGCTGTGGAACAGGAGAGAAGCAGGGGCTGGACAGAGCATCACAGCACTTGTTCAAAGGCTGCGCAATTGTTGATTAAATGATAATCATGATTTTTTTTTGGTTTAGAATTGAGATCACAGCTCTGACAGTTCTTTAAAATATAACATTTAATTTGTACAATTTGGATGCACCTGGTTAAATCACATGTTTTGTTGAATTTTTTTTTTGTTGACTGAAAATAACTTAACACATCCTCTACAGAGTGCAAACCTCTGCATATTTTGATGCACAATTATTTTCTTCCTATTATTTAACATCATGGAAAAAATAAAACATAAAATATGGCATGTACAAAAGTTTTTAATTTTTAATTAATTTGTTATGTCTCAATGTTTTTCCAACATGTCAAATAGAAATTGTGCAGTATACTGTGCAGCTTCCTGTAGAGGATGTGTAACTTATTTTCACTTAGAAAAACAAAAAACATATCATTTGACCAGGGTTGTTTAAACTTCTCCATGTGACTACATATTTAAGCACTTACTTTGCAAAACTTGCAATGTTTGAGTAATAGCAGAAAAAATGTCTTATGTGTTATAAAAATATAAACAAACCAAAGTATAAACACTAGACTCATTGTCTTAATGAAATCAAGAATAATTGAAATAAATATCCAAATAACATATATAAAAATAATCACCACAGTCATCAGTCACTGTAAATAGGGGGAATGGGAGTGTTCATTTTCTTGTGCTGGCTCTTAGTGCAGAATGACCCAAACTGGACTGCACTGAAATGAATTGTGACCCCAGTTTTGAAACAAATAATTGTGCAGCACAAGCTTAAACTACTGAATTTGTAAAAAACTGTAAACTCCTAAAAAACTGAATCGTTTAGGTATGTATGAACTGCTGCTGCAAAACATCTGAGTCTTGAAGTGCAGACTAGTAGAGATGCAAATACGGATGCATTCAGAGTACACTAAGATATTAGCTGTATGTCTTGAATATGACACTATTGCACAGTTGAACTCACCACTATATCCTGCAGCACCTGAACAAAAGGCTCAGTCACTGCCCTCCACATGATCTTACTATGGCTGATTTGCAGGTCTATGTTACAGCCCATGGAGAAGGCCACATCCTGGACATTATTTTGGATATTTGAGATGGGACCTTAGAGAATAAACCATGGCAAATGAGACTAACATGTTAAGTCTGGTAATTGTTCAAAAGAGAGGTTTAAACTCAGCATCAGCATTGACATATCTCCTTCTTTGCCACTGATGTGGAGCAACCACACAAAAGTTTATTGCTTAATTGTTTGACCAGCGTACCTGAACCCAGTCTTAACTCTTAGAAAAGAATAGCATAAATGGTGCTATGAGTTATACAATGATGTGGGATTAAGTATAATGAGTTTGATTCTTTAAAGATTAAGTTGTGTCTCAATACTACATCCACCCAGACTGCATCATCTGTAGTTATTTGATTAATAAAGTGGCTCAGTTGTGTATGAAGTTGCACTACACAGGGCAAGACAAATTATATATATATATATATATATATATTTTTACCTTGATAGAGACCATGTAGGACAAATACTATAAGGTACGCCTGTCCACGGGAGCCAAGCATACTAGGAAACATCAGGAGCACTGTGCAGCGAAAAAACGAAGAAAACATCCCACCTAGGACACACGCTGCTGTAAAAGCACAGACAGTTGATCGGGAGTGCATTACTCTTAACCAAAACACCACATCACCATCACAAAATTAACATGCTGTATGCTCACACATGCTAACATGCTGACATACCTACAAAAACATATCCAGCAATGACTCTGTGGAAGGTGCTCATTGAAATGTTGTGCATAAGTCCAAGGAATAAAGCTATAATAAAGATGAAAACAACATAAGCCCTCTATGATTTCAACTAACCATAATGTTAAAATACAATGCAAATACAACAGTATGCTCTCACCAGACCCACTGAAAGCTCCAAAGACAGCCCCCATGAAGAGTCTGGCTACAGGGAACTCAGATGCTGGACTAAACAGGAACTTGTGTACTATACTGGGCAGGATAAGCTCACTGACTTTCTCCAAAGCTGGGGTGAACAACAAAATCACACTATCAATTAATTATTCAGGGAATAGTGGTGGCTGAGGTCTCACTTAAAGTTTTAACATACTTGAATGGGGTGGCTTTTTTCGCTTAGTCCTACCGAGCTCATCCATTTCTGATTCCCTCGTTGCCGATTTGGAAAAGTCAGATCAACTCAAATGGAATCAGTTGTGTGATGCAATAATGAGATTCCACTGAAGCTGAATTGTGTGATGCAATTATGAGATTCCATTCCATTGAAATGTGACCAGAAACGGCCTATGTGTGCTGCCTAATAGAAGATCCTCTGAGAAAGGTGTCCATCTGTTTGGGCGTTGAGATTGAAAGCAATGTGTCCTAGCAGCACAGGTATATCATCACCTAGAACTTTCAGAAAAAGGTAAGCTCAAGACAGTGCAGAAAATATATTAGCTCATGTATCATTATCAGGATAAACACGTCTCATTTTGTTTCTCATCTGGTTCAGGATGAAACCCAGGAGGAATGTATTCACACCTGTTGGTAGACGTCTGTCATGGCTGCTGGGTAGTTCAGCAATGCAGCAGGCCCGACGCAGTGTAGTAGGCTTTTTCATTGGCCTCCTCCTCGCCTCTGTGTATGGCATGACGGCGCTGTATATTCAGAACTACGGCCTGTGGTACTGTCTCATCACCACCACCACCGTTGCTGTTTTCACAGCGTTTGGAATGGGCCTCTCCATCCGAGTACGGACTAACGTAACACTGATGCTGCCCATGCTCTGCTCCAGTAAGACTCCATACATATGACTTTTAGCATAAAACCAGAGGTGGGTGGAGCCTAAATCCACACTGAAGTAGAAGCAGCAGTAGTGTTGTTTCCGGAATAATGACAATCTAACATATCACAGCTTGATAAAGACTAGGTCTAACTCTAAAATAAAACGTTGTCTAAAATAGAAAGCTAAAGTTTCAGTAACTAAAAAACTAAACTAAAGTGAGTGCTGTGAGCAAGCTGGTCTCTGCTGATCTGGTACTGGTCTGGTGCTGGTTTAGCTGGTCACTCATCATGGTCTTGCTGACTAACCAGCATACCAGCATCCAAAAATCGTTTTGCTGGTGACCTGTCATGCTGGTCTTTGCTGTTTTTTCTCGCAGAATAGTTTCTGCCGGTTTCTGCCAACAGTCTATACTATCGAAGCAAATTTCCCATAAATATGCTACAATAAAATACATACATGAGACAAGGACAAATGAGGCTTTTTAAAATGATTATTTTAAAAATTAGTTTTTGTATCTGCAGAAATCTATGCAATGTATTGATATATGTCTTATAGCATTAAAAATGGTATAAATATATTTTTAAACAGGCTTATCAATTTGACCAACCAGAAAATATCAAGTGATGTAATCAGGCATTAATGAAAAATATTATGTTTTAAAGTTATTTATGACTAAATCTGTATAAACTATTCTTTGTACCTGGACACCGTTTGGAATAAATCTTTGTCCTTGAATTCAAGTTCATGCATACACTTTTTCAAGTAAATAAAATTTGTTATAGTAATAACACATGTTTATATGGGACATTCAACTGAACCAGCCTGACAATAACTCAAAAATGACATTCAAAAAGTACTGCTGACCACTGCACCAGGTCACTCGGGGCCTTCTTTATGGTGCAATACCCTGCCCTCTGTTTCTTAAAAGCAAAATAAAAGTCCATTGTTGTTGGTTGTGCTGCATGACATTTAATGAAATCACAGTTTCTAGACAAATGCTTTGCAATGAGTTGAATGCTTTCAAAATTACCTTATGTTTGTTGGTTGTATTTTGAAGTACTGAAAAAGTAGAATAATGTGATTATATGTCATGTATTTGTTAAATTATTTAACCAGAAAATAGTGGACACAAAAAATAAAATACACATCATATCAGTGACCCACAAATGTTTATGTAACAGGTCTACTTGTTAGGCCTGTGTCAAAATCTCAGTTTCTGGATTTTAATTTCACTTTCATTTAAAATTCATCATGCTTACTGATCATATTTCACCACCCTCTCTCCCCTCATATATTCAGTCTAAGACAAAGATGTAGAAATAGTACGCAAACTACCGACAATCATGCACTAAAATGTATTTTATTGTTTTTTCCCTCTGTTTTGAAGAGGAGGGCAAAAGGTTCCTGCTCTTTCTCATCCTCACCCTGCTGGTCCAAGGCCCCTTGAGCAACACAGTGGAGAACTTTGAGCGAGCGGCAGACAGTGTGGTGTGTGGGGCAGAATTAGCCATGAACCAAACCCAGCTGCTCATGCAGCGAGCTGCTACTCCTCTGCTATGTAAGACTCATACACGGCAGCTGTTCACACACACAGTGCCCACTGCAGCATATTTATAACACAAAAGATACCAACAGCAAGCACATGCTATCCTCAGGGCTCAAAGAGTACTGTTTGTGTTCAGCTGACTTTAATTTTGTTATAACTGTGCATTGATTTGAACTTTCAGCGTCAGTTATTTTCAATAATTATAATATTTAATAAAGTATGGGCTTTTTTGTTGAAAAGATAACTGGGGGTATTTTAAAACATGAAAATATAATTTTATTTTAAAATATAATATAGTTAAAAATATAATTAAAATTATTTGGTCTTTATTCTATCACTGTAGCTCCTCCAGTTAAATTTGCATATTCAGTATATTTTTAAAATAATACTGGATTTTAGTAAAATAACTGAATGTAATCCCACTGTGCTAAAACTTGGTGCACTGAATCTTTTTTAAGAATCAATCATGAATCTAATCATTGTGAATTTACAGTTTTATGGCATATCTATGATTTAGATGTTCAAGTGACTGTGTGCTTCTATCTTCCTGGATGTGTAGCTGTGCTGAGTAAGATAAAGGATGTTAGCAGGAATGCCTACTCGCTGTCCGGCAGAGTCCAGAACTTCATCACTGCACTTACAGAGTCTGTGCGCCATGTCTGTGAGTGAATCTTACTGTACTACAGTGACCAAAGGACGAAGCAGAGGACTTACAGAAACTATACTCAAAAAGATGAATCAAGGGGGTGTTTGACGCAAACAGAAAACGTGACATTATTTGCAATTGAACTATCTCTGTCCATGAATGCGTTCTTTAATAGCAGCTGTCACTAGTTTGGGCAAGAAATCCCTTTTAACCTACTCAGAAAATGTAGCACGCTTGTGTTTACAATTGCAACCTGACATTTCCGGTTTAAATGAAGTGCTACTAAGCTGGACTACAGATATATACAAAAATTTGGGCATTGAATTTCTAAGAGAAAATAAGTTAACACATCCTCTAGAGAGACACTTCTGCACATTTTAATGCACAATTCCTGTTTATTTGCTGAATTTAACATATTGGAGAAAAAAAAATGAATTGTGGCCTGTGCATTTTTTTTTTATTTTCTTAAACTCAATAAATAGAAATTCTGCACTAACAATTCTGTATTTAAGTTCTCTGTAGAGGATGTGTTAACTTATTTTTATTTAGAAAATCAGCAAAACATGTATTTGACTGGGGGTGTTCAAACGTTTGCAGATGACTGGACGTTGTGGCAGCTAATCAAAACTAGGCAGGTTGGAAACAGAGACACTTAAAAGGATGGGTAGTACAAAAAAACAACAATAATGATGAGCCTTAGCTTAATTACACAACAAAAAGCTACATCTAATATACCCTAACAATGCGACCTTTAACATGCCCATGAAATAAATAGCATTTTCTAATTGATAACTAAATTTTTGAAATGTCTCTAATGGTCTCTCTCTTTCTCTGGTCTTTTTTCAGCTCGAACTCTGAGAAATGTAATGCACTTCCTGGCGAGCATCGGTGACGTATGTAACGATAAGATGGGCACACCCTATAAGAAGTGCAACATAGTGTTTGATGAGGGTCGTGCTGACTGTATGGAGTTGCTCTCAATCTTCTCCTTTCTCTGCCACATCGTAGATGGCTTCAGACCTCTCTGTGGCCTCACTCGTGGTCAGCCTCTCCACAGCTTTGTTATTATAACCTTTGCAGTCCTGTAATTAGCATCTTCACAGGAAACCTCTGACCACAGCCTGCCAACTCCTTACTGTAATAGAGTTTGCTTTTTTCCTTTTAACCCAGCTTGGTTTTGTGATATTGGCAATGGTGTGATTAGTATGCATTAGCACATATAATTCATTGTTTTATTATGTAATTTTTCAGCATTTTAGAGGAATGTATAATCGTCATTTATTCATAACAGTTTAATACACACCGTGTTGCCTGTTCATTAGGTACACCTACTTGAATCTGCACTCATTGGTTGTGTTATCAGGGACATCTACCATATAGGTGTAGTTAGTGTTAGTTATTTTCTATCCATTCGTCAATGTTCACTTTCTGACCTTAGGTCCACTGTTGGCTGGATATTTTTGGGCCGTTTTCAATCCAGCATTGACACTAATACTAACACTAATAATGTCATTGTGTGATTCCATAGAAGAATCCTTTTCGTTCCCTGCATGTTTCTTTAAAGAACTGTTTTTGGAAATGAGATGAGTGAGTGTGAAGAACATTCTTTAAGTTTAAAGAACTTCCATGAAATGTAGAAAGTTCTAGGTAAAACCCTTGAATTAAAAGTATAACTTCTTTATGTGAAGGTTCTTTTAAGCCTTTAAAACAGGGATGTACAACTCTGGTCCTGGAGGGCCGGTGTCCAGCAACGTTTGGTGGTTTCCCTATTCAAACACACTCACTAAACCTGGCAATTAACAGTTGAGTGTAATCAGGTATGTTTGAGTTCGCAAATCATCTAATTGTGCTGACCTCCGGCCCACCAGGACCAGAGTTGTGCATCCTTGTTTTAAAAGGCTCCTCACATTTACATATCTCTTTCTTTAGAGAAAGAAAAGTGGCTCATCTATGACTTCACTCAAATAACCCTTTTTTTAAAGAGTGTCGTGTTAGTGTCACTACTGTGCTGAGAAAGATCCACCACCCAAATAATATTTGAACGTGGAGGTCCTATAGTGATCCCTCAATGAATGGGATAGAGGGGAGCTGATAAATTGTGCAGATGGTCTCAGTAACTGTATACATACATAGTGCATCTGTATGGTAGGAGTACCTGATAAAATGGTCAGTGAGTGTAGGTACTAAATGGTCAAACTTGTTACTCTGGTAACTCAGTGTAGTTTAGCTTATATTCAGTTTAATATTACTATGCAAAAGTACTTGTCACAGCTCACTACTTTGTCTGCCATCAGTGCTGTGCTCCAATGTCAGTGGTTTAAGGTTTATGCTTTTAAGGGATCAGTGTTTAATGGCTGAAGTAGCTTTAAAGGTTTTCTGAATGCTGAGGCTGCACTATGGCTTTTCCATCCCATCACATTCCTCTGCTGCCTGACCATGACTCACCCATTTCCCTCTTTTCCTGCATGTTTTCTTTTCAAATGAATTATTGTTTTATATCCGCTGTTGCCTGAGCGGCACTGCTGCCTCTAAATCCAAACATGACCTCACACTGCACACACAGCTCAGGACAAACATTTACAATGCCGCTGAATTGTAGAAGTCTTTTTGAGCGTGCTCCAGTTCAGAATGCTGTGAAAGATATTAGTGAATTTTGTAAAGATGTGTTTTTATCAGTGACTATATTTGATTTAATATTTCTCCCTCACTTCTTCCTCAACAGTTGGCGAACTCTTCTGTATTTTACCCTCATACATTGCTGAACATCTAAAGACTAGACTGGCTTCCCGTAAGTGCAGAGGCTCTTACTTTGCACTCTACATTACACTGTTTTTCAATATCGCTGGTTTTTCATGGCCCATTAACTTCCTCATTATATAAATGGGTTGCCTGTTCTTGTCATGTGTTTGTTGTTTTCTCACTAGCGACTATCGCAGCATTTGATCAAATGAAGAAGGAATTTGAGTTCAACATGTCAGCTTCTGTGGACTTTGACATGAACCTGAACAGGAGTCAGTCCTTGCAGGAAATGGCTCAGGAGATCATGGAGGAGGTGGCTCAGGAGCAGGAGCGCTTCCTGGAGCTAATGGCTGTGCTGGCCTATGTGAGCCTGTTCCTGCTGCTGTTCATGTACCTACAGTGCGTCCAGCAAAAAAACCCTTAGTTACTATTGCCTTTTAGTCTACAGTGTAGGCAAATATTCACCTTTCTATGAAGTAATGGAAGTACTGGGTTGGAGTGGGCAATATGAGTGTTAAATATAATGTAATGCAATAATATAAAATTGTAATATTTGAAATATGACACATCGCAATATTTTTTATTGAAGAGAATTTGAAAGAGACACAGTGTGCCAGCTAATAAGTAGTATTTTTTTTCAACAGTTTACTACACATCACTACAGTTAATTAAGCCATTTTAAGGTGTTTTCATGACACACGACACATATTGCAAATTTTTTTCTGGAGCAGAATTTGAGACAGACACCAGCAAAGCAGCAGTGCCATGTCAACAAAGAGTTCAGCACTTTTGGTCACACTTTATTTTGAGAGTCCCCTATAGGTTATTTATTGATACTGATGTCTGGTGAAACACAGTTGATTATCAACAGTGTTTGGTCAGGGTCAGGGTGATGTTTTGGTTGTGGGTGGAGGTTGGAAGTTAAGGTTAGGGTTAGGTATAAGATTTGTGATGTTTAAGTTCTGTGTGGAGGTTAAGGTTAAAAGTGATGTTTAGGTTTTGTGTGGAGGTTAAAGTTTGGGTTATGTTTAGTGAAACATGATATTAATGGCTAATATTATTTTCCCTGTCCACTGGTGTATGATGACCTAATCAAAAATCAGATGATGTTTTAGGGGCAAACAAAAAGGAAAGAGGCAAGATTCTGTCTTTTAAATTATATGATGAATCATGCTTAATATGAGGTAACAAGGTAAAAAGGTCAATAAGGTTAATTTTGATCTCAGATTGACTCTAAGTGCTGACTACCTTCACAGTATGCTCAGAAAGGCTTAACATAGCATAATCATATCACTTACCCATAGTACTCATTTTAATGCAATCTGCTAACTGATGCTTTGTGTGTGCATTTTGCTTTTGTGTGCAGGGCTGTCCTGTACAAAAAACATTACCTTCACACGGATGATTTCGACAACTTCTACATAACAGAGCAGTTTGTAGAGATGGATCGCAAGTTTTCCAGACAGGGAAGACCAGCAGTACTGCCTCTCAGGGAGAGAGAGGCACTCACCTACATCACACCCTGTGAGAAAGAGTGTGTTTGTGGTGTAAGAATGCATTGATGAATTGTGATGCATTGATCTAAAGGTGGCGATTCAACTGCATTTGTTCTGGAATGATAATAGTTTGGAATTATAATATTCAGTAACGTATGAGGTCATTTCTGGCCTAAAAAAAGTCTTGGCCTATTTTCAAACATAATAATCCATGCTTTAGACATAGCTAACCTAAATTAGACTTGTTTCCTTTATCACACCCTTGTAAGACTCTTTGCGGATGACGGCTCGTGAGAGGCAGGCTGTTGCGGCTGGCCTCGTGACCCTGCTGCAGCACATGGCAATGGGCTGTGTGGTGATGGCCCTGGACCTCATGGTGTTCTGGGTGTTTGACATGCTGCATCACCAGGCTCAGGGAGAGATAGTGGCCAGAGGTGAGAGGCATACCGTCACGTCGTCACTGTGCTTCCTTCAAGGAGATAAAAACTATTTTATATCTAGGCCTGGTACGATAAGCAGTTTTGAAAAGTCACTGTATCAAAATGACCTATATTAGTTCTGTGCAGTCCTTTGTGTTTAATTTCTAGTCAAAACAGATGTTAAGTACAAGTTATTCATGTTTCAGAAGATATAGTCCAGACCTTAACATCACTGAATGTGTTTGGGATTACTTGGATTGTGAGTTGTCCAGAACAGTTTACATTTGCACCAGTGATGGTGAAAAAACCTTAATCATGACTAAATATTCAAATATGGTAGCTAGCACCCCAGTGTGTTAGCTCACATTTGCAATGTAAGGTAACTTACTGTTGTGTGTGTAATTTAAGTAAAGCCACAACCAGAGTTTCGTAGTGCTGAACACTTATGCATGCAAAAAGGGAAAAAAAAAACTAGACCAGTTTTACCTGTAGCTTTCACAGTTATCAATAAATAGTGCTAACTCACTAAGTGGTTCCAGCTTTAATTACTTCATGCATTAACTAGGTTCAGTGTTAGTTGCCGGCATATTTTGACTTATGATGCATACATGCAAAAAATTAAAAAGAAATTGTGAACATACTTAATTTATTTAATGATGTTAGATTGAGAATGAAATTGTGATAAGTGGCTTTTCCATACATTAAATATTGAATAGTAATCACTACTGAAATATGGGAGAAAGAGACTGGCACGCTCAGTCCCCACTGACACACAATCAGTGCAGATATGAGTTTTGTATAATGTATTAAGATCTATATTTATAAATATTTGTATCTATATTGGGTGAAACCTATACAAATTATTGCCCTTTTGATAAATAGTTCCCCAATTTCAGAGGAGCAAAAGTTTTTGGACAAATGGCTGCTCAGCTGTTTCTGTGTCTTTGCGTCAGTAGTTCATGAGTCGAGAGTTGAGACCACAGTGGATGACTGAATAATTCTATCAATCATTAGGAAAATCTGTTGAATAATAAATAAAACAGATCAAGAATATTGCACACTTTAAAATCCCCATTTTCTCTGCAACATATTTACTTCCTGTTTTCTGGCATCACATGATCCATCACTGAACTGTGGTGTGTGTTTCTCCAGCTCCTGTGGTTGTTGATGTCCAGGTGAATGGATCTGGATATGCTTCTGACATCTTCAAGGACATTGTGGCCTCTTTTGACATCTTCCAGAGAGGAAACATCACAATCCTGAGCAAGAAGTGTCTGATGGAGCCTTTAGAGCCAGACTACATAAGCTACCTATTCATAGGTATTTGATGCATACGGATGATTCAAGCTGCTACACACTTGTGTGTGAACAGAATAGTTATCTAGGGACATCTAGTGGTCAGAACTGAGACAGTTCAGTGTGTCGGCCATTTTAGTGTTATCGATAGCAGAAGTAGAAAAAAACACAGACGCAAAGTATCTTCCCATTGCAGATAAAGCTATAAGAACCACAACAAAAATTTATTTTTAAGTGCAAGCTTAAAAAAGCCATTAAAAAGCAGCCATCTAGTAGCTGCTGATCAGGGAGTAAAGCCAAAACTGACATTTCAAAAGAATTATTCAGTTGTGGATTACAGTTGTTAATGTATGATTCATTAAATACACAAAGTGCAGAAAATTTACTTAGGATTAAGCAGGTTTGTGTCCTTTAAGCATAGGAAAAGCAGTTATGGAAGGAAAAAAGCCCTATTGTTAACTTACTAGAACATAAGTGCTTTTCTTCTAAAGTCTTGCTGCCAACTTTATTTTATATGGTGCAATTAGACAACAAGTTTCAGTTTTATGGTACAGATGGTTAACAATTTGCTTTCTAGAAGGTGACTTGCAGTTGCAGACTTTTGTCCTTTGCTCATTTACAGGCTTTCTTTATGGTCTTACCTTCTTCCTGGTGCTTGGAGGCAGTTATGCTAAACGTCTCCAGAGATCTGTGTGTGCACATTATCATCCTCAGCGAGAAAAAGTAAGACAACTGGCACTGAAATGTGTTAAAGGTTCATTTTGCATTAATATCTGATTTTTTTCTCAGTAACCCTCCTTTCACAATACCTAAAGATTTCTCTAGACTTCATTCAAAATTCTTTTTTTTTTTCTTAAATTCTTTTCAGAAATTACATCTGCTTTTCTACCTAAAAGAGTGGAATAATGCAGTCTGGCATTTCCATACAGCACAAATGGATTTTAAAGCACAAGTTTGAACCCTTAGCAAAATAAAAAAAAAAGTTTCTTCAGAAATCAACTGTGATAATAGGGATTATAGGGAGTTTGTCCCTATTAACAGCCGCTACTCTTCTGGGAAGACTTTATACTAGATGTTAGAACATGTGCTGTGAGGATTTGATTGAATTGAGCCATAGGTACATTAGTGAGATCAGCCACCAATGTTGGATAATTTGGTTCTGGATCACAAACACCACTCTAGCTCATCCTAAAGGTATTGGATGGAGCTCCATCACTCCAGAGAACACAGTTCCACTGCTCCACAGCAGGTGGGGATTTTTACCACTCTAGTTGACACTTGGCATTGGACAATGTCATTTGTGGATGCTTGTGAGTATCCCATTCTATTAGCAGTGCTTTTCTGTGGAGCTTGTACAATTCAACATCTATATCAGCAATGGATGCACCTTAAGTAGTTGAATTCTCCAATTGAATACTTCGGGACACATGCTGTTTGTTGTATTTCAAAATTGTGTTGTTTTCACAAAAGGTATCATAATACAGCACAACAGTTAACTGATCCAATACAACAAACCATAAAATAATCCATACAGAAGTATTATAAAGGATTACACAGTTCAGGTCATTCATGGTCAGAGTGAACATTCATTTTTTTGCTTTACCTCTGTGTGTATCTGCCAGTCCTTACTGAAAGGAGGAGGAAGACAAATGGAATGGTAACTATTTGAAGAATGCTACACATAGAGGAGTTTCCTCTCTATACCTCTCCATGGAGAGTTATAGAGAGGAATGTTAAGTACTGAAAACAAGCACTGAGTGAAACATATAAGAATATTTTATACAATAATACTTTTTTTTGCAATATTTTCTATTGTACATATTGCTACATTTACATTATCTGTATCTTGATGAACCTTGACATACCTGCACAGTACCTTCATTTTTAACAGTGTACATAGTTCCCCCTTACCATAAGTAATAGGACAAATGGCTGCTCAGCTGTTTCTGTGTCATTGCACAAATGTTAAATGTTCAAGAAGGATGTAGCAACAAGGCTACAGATCTCAGTAGTGGATGGCTGAGTAGTACCTTCATTCACGAAGAACATCTATTGGACAGATCAGGAACGCTGTCTAGGTTGCAGCAATAGATGTATGAAAAAGATGTATCAAAAATTAGCATAAAGAGCAGAATTCATCAACTTCAAATAGATCAAGAACAAAAAGACTAGTTTCCATCTGTTAAAAAGGCCATTGAAAGCCTTCTAGCAAAAGGCGCCACGGACAGATGAGGTGAAGGTTAACCTGTACCAGAGTGATTGAATGAGGAAAGTGTGGAGAAAAAACAGAAATGCTCATGATCCAAAGCATCTAAGAAACACAGTGGTATGCTCATGTATGGCTGCCACTGAAACTGAATCACTTACTTTATTGATGATGCAAGATGAATTCTGAAGTGAACAGAAGCACCTAACTGCTCAGATCCAACCAAATGCCTCAAAGCTTACTAGATGGTGTTTTACCTTCACCAGTGACTTAAAACACACTTCTAAGCAATTTTGGAGTTTTTCAAAGCTGCAAAAAGTGGACTGACCAAGTCAGTCATTCATCCTGAGGTCCACTGAGCATAAATTCTGCCTTCAGAAGAAAAAACTGAAAGCACAAGCAGAAACTGAAACTGACTGCATCACCAAGGAAGGAACCAATGTCTGGTGATGTCTTTGAGTTGCAGATTTTGGACAGTCATTATTATCCAATCAAATATAAACTGGCAATTTGTCCAATTGTTTATGGTCCACAGAAATGAGGTCTATATTTAAAAAGAGTTGTGATTCCTATATGGTTCATCCAGTGTGCTGTATCCCATTGCTTAGCGAATATTCATGATTATAATGATACATTTTGCAACTGCAGTGTACTAAGAACACACTGGTAACCCAATGTGGGTTGGCTTGCAAGCTTGGCCTACTTTATTTTGACCTTTGATTAATATTTGTTGGATCATGTACACGTCCACACCCAAAGAATGTCCATGATTGATCAAAGGTTTATTTTTTATAATTCAGACTTCTACAATATCAGTATTGTGGAGGCTGATTTCACAATAACGATTAACCACAAACAATACACTGCATCCCCTTCATTGTTTTATTGTTTCATTTTAAATGCAATATGCTGGAATACAGAGCCAAACAAAAATGTGTTACTGTGTAATTATTCACGTATATGTCTTGAAGAGACAAAGAGACAAATGACTGCATTGTTGTTTCAGGAGAGGATCCTGTGGCTCCGTAGACATATCCTCTCTCAGCGTGGGTCTCTGGGGAAAGCTCTGCTAAGGGCGGTGGCCAGGGGCAAGGAGGACCAGGGACACAGTAGTGTACTGCAAATACTAACACTGCGGTGAGTCATACCCTGCGCTGTTTGGGTGGGTGGGGTGGATTAGCTAATGATTAACCAGTCCTGGAGTAAATACTATTCTGATAAACCTACTTTAAGAATGGTTTAATGTTAGGTGCTTGAAAGAGGGATAGCAGTGAAAAGACCTGTGAAAATACTACTAATTTCTGTAGTAGCAGTGAATGACTACCACCTGGCTAAAGTGGACATTGGTGCTTAGAGTGCCTGGCCAGCAGTTGAGCCACCAAAGCCAAATATGTGTGTATTTGTGTGCAGCCTGCCTGGTGGAGCCACCATAGCCAGGTTCCTGGGTGTGTTTGATAAGTCCTGCCTGGCCTGTGGGACGGTGATGAAGAGCAAAGACTGTCCTGATGCGTACACCTGCTCTACCCCAAACTGCACAGGTTCCACAGTCAAATCCTTTTAGCATTCATATTCCTATAATTATTGCCTTTTAGATCACCATGGCATGGATTAGGTATCTCTAACCCTGCTCCCAGAGTCACCCTTCTTCAGATTTCAGTCTAACACACTGGTATGCACATGCATTTTAAACCCTCATGGACTGGATCAAGATGTGATAGATTAGGGTTGGAACTAAGCTAGATGTTCTCCAGGAAGAAGGTTGGGTACATCTACACTGGATGTTAGATATAGATATTGAATCAACTTGTGTATACAGTATCGTACGAAAGTCCTATGTGAGGAAACATATGTATATGCATATACATATGTATGTAAACTGGTGTTTTAACTTTAAAAAGTTAGTTACTGGGCTGCCTTAACAATTTGAGTTAATTGAACTTCAAATTAAGTAGACAGAGTAATGGGCAGATTTTTGTTTTGTTAAACATTAGATGTTCAATTTGCCCAAAAATTTGAGGCAGCCTTGTAATCTTTTGAAGTTAGAACACCAAATTTTTAACAGTGTATTTATATGAGCGGGAATGTATTTTTTGTTTGGAAAAAAAAAAACACTACAAAACATTACAATAACTTCAAATACCCAAATAAACAATACATTATGCTCTTATGTGCGTGTCTTAGCTTAACCATTTTCTAAGCTCTCCCAGAGCAAGTCTAGTAATCACAGTTACCATCCAACACCTGCTGCAGTTAACCAATTCTTCATTAAATTAATTGTGTGTACTGCTGAAGACATTTTACAAATACAAGGTTCATGGCTGCCTAAGTCTTTTCTACATTACAGTATGTGAACTATATACACACTAGACACCATGTGCATGTAACTCTGTCTCTGCAGGCTGTTTCTGCATGCAGTGCTTTAGAATTATGGGGAGGATCTGTGCTGTTTGCATGGGGCCCCTCACATTCCAGGAAGACTCTGAGCAGGAGCTGTGAGTTGACTGTTATTTCCTTTATGAAAAGACAGACATGAAGGCAAACCTGAGGTTTACAGGTTTACACTTGATTCGTAACAACAGAAGAGAAATAAATCAACAGTGAACAGAAATGCTCAACAATTACGTTACCGTTCAAAAACTTCGCATCATTGTTCAAAAGTTTGGACTGTTTTCAACAATATAAAACCAATTTTGTTACTTGTAGAGAATTATTGTAAAATGATTCCTACAATTTGTAGGAAGTTGTAGAAATGAAATCTTTTATAATGAATAGAACTGTAGACATTAATAATGGGGAATGCTGTACAGCATTGAGAATGAACTTAGAAAAAGGTCTAGAACAGGGGTGTCCAATCTTGACGTGGCTGCAGGTTTTCAATCCAAACAAGCTGGAGCACACCTGATTCTACTTGTTTAATCAGTTGGTCTTAGTCTTCAAACATTTCATCAGGTGACCTCCTGCTTTGTTGAAGTGAAAACCTGCAGATAAGATTGGACACCCTGCACCAGAATTTCTCACATTTGACAAACAGTGACCAAATCTTGCTGATCATTTAGCTATTCACAGTAATTTTGTAAAAAAAAAAACAAAAAACAAAAAAAAAAAAACAACAACTACATCTACAGTTGTATGCAAATGTTTAGGCAGTCCTGGTCAAATTACATTTTATTGATTTTCTATGTGAAAATAAGTTAACACATCCTCTGCAGTAAACACCTTACTGTACATTTTAATGCAAATTATGGTTTATTTGCAGAATTTAACTATATAAACTCTACTAAATAAAAAAACAAAATCTGGCCTGTATGCATTAAACTTAGTAAATAACTAAAAAATGTGTATTAAAATGTAATTTGACTGAGTATGCTCAAACTTTTGTATTCGACTGTAATTATAGTTTATTATTTAATAACATATAGTACTTATGAATTGTGAATACGCAGAGCAGTGGTACTGCAAGACCAGGATGGAGAACGACTGGTTTCTCACATTTCACTACATGGTATTAGTTGTCCAGATTATTACTGAAAAACAAGAATCAAACTGACAAGTGATTCCAGACTTTTAAATGCTGATGTATATAGACTGATACAACAGCAAACATACTTAATAGAGCATGAAATAACTAACATTTGGGAGGAGGATCATGAATAAATTTCATATCCTCATCAAGAGGGGCTCCAGTCTTCCAGCTTAAGGAAGAAGCCACTTAGAACTCCAGCCCAAGTTTTCAGAGGTCTCTCCTTTCCTGCAGTCTCTACTCATATTGCCTCCATATGTTGAAGGCACGGTCTAAACTCGTACAATTAAATTAGTGTTTTTAGACATTCATCATTTATCTGCATTTTCACTCGCTGTCAGTGTTTTCAAAAGCTGGTAAAATCTGCTCTGCAACGTTTAGTGTTTTCCCCTGCTGTAACAAATCCACTTCAACTCAGCCCACTTGGATCAGCAGGACAAATGCTAAAACCTGGTGGTACACACTTAAAAAAGATGGTTCTTCAAAGGTTCTTTAGTAAAGGAAATGGTTCTATTTAGAACCATGAGTTCTATATAGAACCATTTCATGCTTAAATGTTTTTTTGCATGGTAAAATAGCAGATTGATGGAGAATGTGTTGTGTATGGTTCTATATAGACCTTTTTGAAAACAAGTCTATACAGCCCCAAAAAATGTTCTTCTATTGCTACAAGCTTGACATCATTATAGTAGAAGAACACTTTTTGCTGCTATATAGAACCGTTTTATTCTAATATGTGTATGCAATTTGATGTTCCACCACAGTGTCCACACTATAGTGAAAATTGTTTTCTTTGCTGCTGGACAAATGCCCAAAAGCAAACACTGTTACAAGCTTGACATCATAACAATAGAAGAACCCTTTTTGGTGCTATATAGAACCATTTTCAAACAAGTTCTATATAGAATCATATACAGCACATCCTACATTAATCTGAAGAACCTTTTCACCATGTAAAGAACCATTTAAGCATGAAATTATTCTCTATATAACTTATGGTTCTAAATAAAACCATTCCCTTTACTAAAGAACCCTTAAAGCAGAACCATATGCAGAACCATATGCATGCTCTCCAAAGTGTTTAACCACTGTTACAAGTGGATTTATAAGATCCACCCCAATCATGCTGTCTATACTGCATGTGTGTGTTCAGAGACTCCAGCGATGAGGAGCAGGTGAATCTGTGGGCAGCGGCTATCACAACACCACACATCAGTCTGAGCCGTGACAGGAGGAAGCTGATGTGGAGGCGTTTGTCTGTGGCTACAGGGAGGCCGTTGGGAGAAGAAAGGAGCACAGAGGAACTCAGTGATTCATGCAGAAGTGATTATGACCTCAGGTGACACTGATGTCGTTGTCCCTCAGCATAAACATAGGCTACCTCATCATAATACAGTTATATTTGTACCTGTTCGTGTTTTGTTCCTTGCATGTCTGAAAATCAGTTGGTGGTGTGTTTGTTTCACTGACAGAACCAGTCAAGACCAGTCCCATGACTTCAAAAGAGACACACCACCTCCACTGTACCCACCTCCTGGTCCTTCACATACCTTTATCCTCTAGTGTCCACTAAGAAGTGTCACCAACATACAGGACACAGAAGTAACACCAATGCCAATTCTTTTTGGCAGTAAAACAATTAAACATGTATACAAGAATCTCTGCCAGTGAATAAAAGTGTTTTCATTGCCCATTTCCGTCATGAAGCTCTTATCAGCTCAGTCCGTATGAAAATGGCTTTGTATCAGATGTGACCACTAGAATGTGGTCAGGCTGGTTTGGAGTTGCCTAATTTCTCTGCTTTTTCTGCCTCACTGCTTGTGGAATGCTCAATGAGGAGCAGCTCTCATCCTGCCATGAAAACATCTACCATCTCTAAACTAGCCAACTTATAGCTGAATTTCTGCTCGGTTTTCGAGGTGGCTAAACTATCACATATAGTTCCACATGTAGTGTACACGCATCAAAATCTTGTTCAAAACAGATCCTGTGGACCGCAGACTAAAACCTGCGAGTACTTATCACTCCTGTCATCGTACCGGCTGGAGCGCGGCGGGCCTGACGTGGGTGGTAGGAGGATACCAAAGTCCTCCAGGCGCTGGGGCGGTGTTAAAACACCAGCACTAACTTTAGCCACGGAGTTTAATCCAGATCCGGAGGCTAAAACCGACCAAATGGCCTCACAGGTAAGCGTCTCTGTGTTACTTTGGCACGATATACCTGTAGTGGCATGCTCGAAATGAATTAAAAGTAGCTTTATATATAAAAAAGAACGTGCTGTGGAGATTGTTCCTCTGTGTGGTCTCAGCATGAGGAACATCCTCATTCATAGGCTATTTCAACCCGTGCGTATGATAATGTAAAGTAATTAAAATATTACTCTGTAAATCTGTCATTTACGTACTGATAATTCAGCAAAAAAAAAACCCAGATACGTTCTGGTATCAAGTTAACATAAGCGAGCTTTTTCATAACTATTACTTTACATTCTTTTTTTCCTCTGTAATATTATATTAACCGCAGATAATTGGCTTTACAAACCCAGGAAAACCGCACATACTTTCTGTGATCCAAATGATTGTATAGTAAATTTCACCTGAGGGCAGATATTCCAGCGCAGTGTCCACACTATAGTGAAAATTGTTTTCTTTTCTGCTGGACAACGCCCAAAAAGCAAATAGTAGTGCTGTGTGCTTAAAGCTGCCAGGCCCACACTAGCATAACTGCTTCCTGAGCCGCTCCATTGTCTAGGCTTGGTTACCTGGCTATAGTAAAAGGGGATTTTACCTTAATGGGGGCTAATCTACATGGTATGATTATCAGGATTACTTGGAATAAATCCTGTTCTGTATGAGTGCTGGTGAAATGCCAGGCTCACCTATGGATTTGAGTTTTATCAGTGCTCTAAGCAGTGCTGCATTTGTCATCTGCTATTTGCCTAGGATCAGTTTTATCTATGAGTCATTAAGCGCAGGTAGTACTCAATTGTTGTAGTTCAGGTTTTTAAAGATTACTAACAATTTTGTTTCCCAAAAGTGATAACTTGTTTTGCAGTTTTGTATAAAAAGTATTTGGAATCATTTTGTTGTTATTCTGTAATTCATGTGTAATTCAAATCATACTCCTGTCATTTTTGGTTTAAAATTGCTCTCTTGAATCAAACTGACACTGAATTCAGTAAATTATATCCCAGAAATTAAAATAAATTCATTAATTAGGATAAAGTGCAGAGTACTACAACAACCACTCCTTTTCTGTAGTGCACAGATCTAGAACTGGCCATCAATACCCTGGTGACCCAGTTCCATGCAGCCTCACCTACTGTAGGTCCAACTTTGACAGTGGAGGAGTTCCAGAGCATGGTCACCAAAGAACTGCCAACCATGGTGAAGGTAAACTGACCTCCCTTCCCTTCCCTTCTGTGTCCGTAGAACACTTCAGCGTAGTGAATTGATAACTCATCTTCAGCAAGACTTAACAAATCTACTGTGAAACTAGAGTTCCAGTTCATTGATGAATTCCACCAGCTCTGTCTTTCCAAAGTAGGAGTTTAGAGAGCGAGCACCAAAAGATTTAAATTCATATAGAATGTTTAGAATAGACATGTTATAATGTCTTCTGTTTATGGGGCTCATGTGACCCTGCTATCCATTTTATGAATATGAGGGGAGTAAAGTTTTATGTGCTTCTTTTGCAGACTGCTGGTGAGCAGGAGGGGCTGAACGAGCTGCTGAAGGAGATGGGAGTGGAAGAGGGGCAGGGAGTCACCTTTGAGAACTTTTGGGTGCTGGTGAATTCCCTAGCCAGCACTCAGTTTGGGCTGCTTCAGAAAGACAAAAGTGTTAAATGTAACTGCCTGTTACTCTGAGGTCTAGGCAAGTGAATAAACCAAACCCGAGCAAACAACTCCAATCAGCCTCTCCCACTTTCTGCAGTCTGGTGCAATGCTATCAAAGAAACCTAGCAGGCCCTGCATCACACCTCTCAGACCTTATCATTAGCATATTATCAATTTCTCCAGACATATTCGACCACACCTGCAATCTAAATGGTTAAACACAGCCAACATTACAACTGAAACTTACAACTGGCTAATAGTTGTAAATGTTATAAGGAAGAACCTTTTTTATTTGCTGATAAGCTCTGGTGCTGCAGGTTTTTGTTTTTGTTTAAATGTTTCTGAATCATCCTGTCTTTATGATATTTTTGTACAATAATGATGATAAATGAACTGGAGACCTAGAAATTATTTTATTTTGTCTCTGTTGTTTCAAGACAAATTATTTGATAAATATCTGTTTTACACACAATACATTTTTGTATACAATGAAAAAAGTGTTGTAACAGATTATGGTGTGACATTAAAATAATACAAAATATGGAATCTTGTTAATATGATATGTACATCTATGTTGGAATAATTAGAAGAGTTCAGTGACTCAGCCACTTGTTGATACATATATTTAAGTTATACTTCTTTGTCACCCAACCACTGCAAAACTTGTGTTTGTTCTTCTCAAGCAAGCCCAAGACAAGACAGTCATTTATACCAGTGTTTCTCAATAAATGGACATAAAATATGTGCATATTCAAATTAAACGGTGCAGCTGGGTGAATTATCGAATTATAATTTATAGTGTAAGACAGAGGCAGCTCTGAGCAAAAAAACTCACCCGTGCTATAGTACAATATACTCAGTACAATATATATATATATATATATATATATATATATATATATATATATATATATATATATATATGTATGTATGTATATATATATATATATATATTGTACTGAGTAACATCAACAACAATTCAGAGAAGCACAAAAATAATATTTGGATTCCAAGATGGAGACTTGAAAAAAAAAGTTCTCTTGTTATTGAACTTGCATTTGTGAATATAGAATTTAGCAAGAAAAATCAATAAATTAATAAGCTGATTCTTGTTTTGATTGCAAATATCAAAGAATCCAAATAATAAATTTATTAAAAAGCAGAGAGAAATCAACTAAAATATTGTCAATTATATATCTTGTGAAATCTTGCTCGAATTTCGTTGTGTATGAGCAGTACCAAAATAAATGGAAGAGGGTTTCAGGATGTTCAGTGCAGACGCTGCAGCTGTGGTTAGTATCATTTTAAACCTTTATAAGAACACACCCTGCTGAAAAAAGACCATTAGAACCATTATGATTAAAACTTGATGGTTTTGCTTTCTAATGGGATGCATATGGTATCGGTCCCAGGATTCTTGTTAAACCATTAGAATCCTTTACACTGTAAAATCAACTCATCAGGAAAACACAGAATACCATTAGTGACTATTACACACCACCAGAAACCAACAGTTTTATTAGTTTCTATATTTTTTTCAGCAGGTCATTCACTGAGTAATATCAATGCATGAATTTTAAAGGACACTTTTTAAATTTTATTTGTACTTAAATACTTTTGGGGTAAAGTCTAATAACAGCTTTCCATCTTATATTATTACTAAGCCATTGCAATAAGAACAAACAAAAGAAAAGAGACGATGTTTCTGTGAAAGAGTGAAGGAATTTTTCTGATGTTTTTTTGACTGTTCAGTGAAACTAATTTTTCCAACAGGAGATCTAGAAGTCTCAGTCTTGGGTACTGTGGAGAGAATGTGCAGACCTGTGCCATCTGCTGGTTGCGTCTAAAATGTTTTGAGTCGTCATTCATTTCCCCATAAAGACATTTTGGATAAAGGAGTACAAATTTGGTAGACATTTAGAGGGCCACCAAAACACAGTAGCTACAAATAAAATTTAATTTTAACATTTTGCTGAGCAATGTAAATGTTAAAATTGAATTGAACTGCAAAACTCATGGCTTGGTGATGGTCAGCGCTACTGAAAATAAAAAAAAAATTGTTACACTAAAAAAACTGCTCCATCCATCCATTTATTGAAAAAAATTAAGTTTTTCTTGAACTTTCAAAATTAAAAGACAATTTTTTAAAGTGCAAAGTTATTTTTCAGGTCTATTTTATCACTATTACTGTTTGGCTCTAGAGGGCCTCCAAAGAGTGTCCAGGGGCCTCGAGAGCCTCAAAAGAGTGCCCAGGGGCCTCAAGAGCCTCCAAAGAGTGTCCAGGGGCCTTGAGAACCTCTGAAGTGTGTCCAGAGGCCTTGAGATACGCCAAAGAGTGTCCAGGGGCCAGAGCCGGATTATGAGGAGCCTGGTCACTTCCTATTTCCCCCAACATAGCAAAAACAGAACTGTAGCAAATACATTTTGGGCAGAACAATGCTCGCTAGCCTTACTGCTACTGAGCGCTGACTGGTTGGCGACCTAAGCCGTGCTCACTGACGTCACGGACGAACATGAGGCACTGTTTTAAGTTCAAAAGCCTTTAAAAATACAACAGTGGTGTTAAAATGTTTTATGCTGTTCTGAGTTCAGAATATTAATGTATTCTTTTTTTTGATTATTTTACTCAAATGCTCCATATTAACCCATTCATTTTGGACTCGCTCGGTAGTGCCCTCTAGCGTTTGAGAAACCCAGAGTGGTAATTCTCCTCTCTACAAGTTCTCTGCAGGGGCCTCGAGAGCCTTTTCCGTCCCTGCCCTGCTAGCATTGTATCCCACCACTTTAAAGACTTTTAGCTGCCTTTCCAGCAATAGAAAAACATTAAAGACTGTAGGAGTCTGAAGACGAGAGTAATAACAATGAAAATAAGTATATGTATAAATTAAATTATAAAGTTGATGTGACTTGTTTGACAAAAATATGACTAATATGTTCCAAAAGATGCACAAATATGGCTGTTCTAGAGCGTGTTTAAAGTGCAGAACAAGGGGAAGGTCTTCGCTCAGAATCATCTTAATTCAGACTAAATAAAACGAATATTTACGTCAGAGGCACACCGCCCCATTTCCCCGCCCCGAGTTCCTCTGATAAGGTCTAACTTCCGCCGAACACAGCGCAGCAGCTGCAGGAGAAACACCGGAGGGAGATAAGTGCCGCGGAGGAGCCGCAGCTGGTCTTATGAAGCGAAGAGGGTTTCAAATCGCTCCAGGTTAATTAGACAAGATGTCTTTTAATGGCCGAGAAGACGAGGAAGGAGAAGGAGAGAGCGCCAGCGTCCAGAAAGTTCAGAAAGAGCGTCAACATTTGCCGTCTGCAGATCTACAAAGAGATGGATGGCAAGGGTGCAGTGTTTGCGGAGCCACGCTGAGCTCCAGCGCCGCCCCCAATCTCCTTCCGTGCCTCCACGTTGTTTGTAGATCGTGCGTTACACAGAGCAATGGCGGAAACACCAAAGGTAAAACTTCACTGAAGACTTTTTTGTAGACTTTCTTTCCTAACTTTTCTAGAGCAGGCGTGTAACTTACTGGTCGACGAAAGCTAGCAGATGGGCTCGTGGCTGATTATTGTTGGTATCCGTAGGGCCTATTTACCGAGGACCTCAGTGCTGAGATGTTCACCACAGCCATCATTTGACTTTGTTCAGTTTAGATGGTTTTTATTTGCATGTCTGCAGACTTGCAGTGTTGTTAAGGCAAAGCAAAGATCCGTGCTGGTTAACTTCATATCTAACTAACTAGGCCTGTGTTAAAAAAAAAAAGGAAAACGGGTGCTGACTTTCCCTCTCATGTGTGATTCAGTATACCATACAGCTATAGCATATGTTCAAAAGTATCCAGACACCCCTTTCAATTAGTAGAATTGTTAAAAGGTGCCCCAACTGCTAACACAAGTTTTCAGTTGTGCACAGTCTGTATAATCCCCTTACAAAAGCATTGTAAACTGAAAGGGATACACATGAACGTAAGGTCACCATGTCCAATGCCAAGCGCCAGCTGTAGAGGTATAAAGCCCCCAGCATTGGGCTGTGGAGCAGTGGAACTGTTCTCTGGAGTGATGGCGCTCCGTCCAATACCTTTAGGATGAGTTGGAGTGGAGTTTGTGATCCAAAACCGATCATCAAACATCAGAACCTGACCTCACTAATTCTTCTGTGGCTGAATGCGATCAAATCCTCACAGCAATGTTCCAACATCTAGTGTAAACCCTTCCCAGAGGAATAGAGGCTGTTACTGCAGTAAACAGTAAAGGGGGATAAACTCCCTGTTAATTCCCGTGATTTTAGAATAAACACTGGGTGATCAGGTGTCTACAAACTTTTGGACATATGCTATATGATTATGTAATAATATATGCAGTGACTGCAACTGAAATTCTGATTCTATAGAGATACATATGTTTTTATGGATTAAACTGGTAATATCATGAGAGGTCCTTCAGCATGCTTAGAGGGGATGTCTGTACCTCGCGCTTCTGTATATGGACTAAAAAAGTAGGTTGTGGACACCTGTCAACCGTTAATCTTCTACTTTGACTGTCAAGGAAGTCAGAAAGTGTGACGTGTTACTCTTCTAGGCAGGTGCTGATATGAAAATGTAATATCATTCTAATTATATAAACTGTTGTCATTGTTTATGATAAAAACATACAAATTCTTTTTTTAAATAGCAATAATGTGTTGATAGTTTTACATTTCAGTCTTTGAAAAGAAGATTTAAAAAGGGAGCCAAGACCAAAACTACTAGCAGTGTCCAGGGATTATTTGTAAACTCTGAGTGTTTTCAGGATTGGTAGCTGGAAGCAAGGAAGGAGAGGGTAAAACGGCACTTTCTCTCTATGTTTGTAAATCTTTCGCTTTTAGCCTTCATAAAACTTTTACTGGCAGACAACTTTTTCTGAATAGGTAGCGTATGACCTCTGTAAGCTTGAAGCATATGTTTAGTGAAGAAAGATCCCTGTGTGTCTGTATGATTATACATGATTATATCCATCCATTCCAAATCCTGAACAATACAAGATTAACTCAGTTTTTCAACTTGTCATTTTCATTCAGCCCAGTTATCTGTAGGTAAGAAAGCTTACATTTTTTGTAATAGGGCAAAGATTAGTGTACACTCTTAGTAAAAAATGCTCTATTTAATACCTGAAGAAGGATTCTTTGACTCATAACAACAGTGGAACCCTTTTTTGGTGATATTTAGAACCTTTCTCAGAAGCATTCTTTTAAAGAACCGCATCCAGCTGGGTTTTCGTCATGGAGAAAAACCATGCAGAGAAACATCTATGCATTCAGATAGGTCTTTGAGTGTTGATGGTTCTATGTTAAACCTTTGCCTTTACTAAAGAACCCTTGAAGATCCCTTTTTTTTTTTTTTTACATTGAGGAGGGCAGTATGACCATATTTATTGTTATCGTGATAAGTCACATCACAATCTGCTTTTTTGTCTTGATGCTTTTTGAAATTGTTTTTCTGAATGTGCCACTAGTCATTCTTTTTGTCTGTTCTGTCTTATCAAACCTCAGTAAAACAAAATACCATAATGCA